CCTAACCCGTGACACAGGGTGGTGTGTAGGGTGGGGTGACGCGTCCACGACCGGTTGAGATATTGCCCCGTCACCACCGACGTTCGCCTGTAACAGGCAACAGCAGCAGCCTGCAGGCAACAGCAGCAGCCTGTAGCACCCTTCACAACCACCGCTCACGGCACCGCGGTGACACGAGGACAGGCGCGAGAGACACCGGTGAGACGGATGCTGCGTGACAGAACAATTCATTCCAGAGCGTTCCGGATTAAATGGAGCGTCGCACGCAGCAGACCAATAAGGTCAAGGTCACGTCAAGGTCACGTCAATGAGCATGAACCGTCAGTCATCACGCGAACTCGGTCATCCGAGTTCGCGTTATGCAGCAGCAGCGGCGGTGGCGGCGGCTTTTGGAAACCCGTCGAACCAAGATCAGCAACCAGCACCGATCGACGCTTTCAGATGACGCCCTGCGGCCATCTGGAACGCTCCCTCCTCCTTCCCCGACGGGTGTAAGAAGCCGCTGGGAAGCGGGTGCCCCTTTTAGAGCATCAACAGAGGATCGACGAACTCGTTCCTTTAGAACCGCTGTGTGGTCCTTTCAACCCAGCACTCTCCAATGGGGCACGGGGGGGTCTGGTCCGGCTACGCACGGCGACAAAATTAGTCCCAACGTGCAACGCAGCACTGCGTCGTCGCGCCCAGCGAGAGCTAAATGGCACCGCACACCTCACTACCCCCCCCTCACCCCCCCAACGTGTGACATTACAATGCTTAAGAGCTCGTGAAAATTTTGGGGTTTAATGAGGTTCTGGATGATGATTCGAACACGTGGAGGGGGAGTGTGGGGGGGGTGGAACTCACTCGTGGTACGACGCCCTTTCATCACGTTCTGGCAACTTGACACATGCCAAGCGTCCTCACCCCCCCACCCCCCCCAAACAAGTGGCGTGAGCTCATTGGGGTCGGCGGGTGGTGCAAACCGAACCACGCCCTGGCGATGAGATTCAATCAAAGGTCGAAACCGGTTCTGGGCTGCAGGTTGACAGGCGAGCGAGCGAGCCAGGGAGGGAGCGAGAGAGAGAGAGACGTCAACGTGTAGGCCACGAGTTATGTTGCTGCGACTGGATGATGTCAAGAAATGTTGTGCCACCGCAAGACTTGCAGCGGTGTGTGGACTCACGATACTGTACGCCACTGTAACTTGCAGAGGGGGACACAGGAGGACTGGCACGGAGAAACCAATAGCCCCCCCCATCACCCAACCCTCCATAGACTCAACGACTTGCATAGAGACCCACAGACGACTCGCGTAGAGACCGACACAGCGCACTCGTATGAACTACCGTAAACTTAAACTGAACTTTTTTTTATTTTAACCCACTGAGCTCCCATAGCGCTTTTTTCATAAGCGACCTGGCCATCAGAAGTGACAGCTCAATTAAGTTGGCTTAGCGCGTGGACATGTATAACAGCAGCGAAATACTCTAAACGCGCATTTCTAAACGTGGAGGGGAAAACCGGAGGACCCGGAGAAAAATCCACGCGACCACGGGGAGACAGACACACCGCAAACTCCAAACATACAGCAGGCGTCAGGGTCGGGATCGAACCCACGGCCTCCTGCACACCAGGCGAGGTAGTAAACATCTCCTAGCCACCGTGATGATGAGAGAGAGAGACACGCAAACTCCAAATATACAGCAGCAGGCGTCAGGGTCGGGATCGAACCCATGACCTCCTGCACACCAGGCGAGGTAGTTAACATCTCCTAGCCACCGTGATGATGAGAGAGAGAGACACACGCAAACTCCAAATATACAGCAGGCGTCAGGGTCGGGATCGAACCCATGACCTCCTGCACACCAGGCGAGGTAGTTAACATCTCCTAGCCACCGTGATGATGATGATGAGAGAGAGACACGCAAACTCCAAATATACAGCAGCAGGCGTCAGGGTCGGCATCGAAACCACGACCTCCTGTACACCAGGCGAGGTAGTTAACATCTCCTAGCCACCGCAGCGCCCCATACGAAGAGCACATAATCTCACAAAGACCTCCCCCCGACACACACTCTGGACTCGCACGGATTAAAGGTCTTCACAGAAACCTTGCACGTGACGTCACCGAGGTGGCAGGGGTGGCGCTCCGGAGCACGTGCGCGCTTGACAGGCGAGACGGATGATTGACAGCAGATCAAGTGGGTTGCCGTGGTTACCGAGATGCGGTGGTTGTTGTTGTTAAAGACACGAGTTAAACGAGGCTCATTGGACTGATATTTTTTTCACCGTGCCGAGATCGCCTTCTTATACTTCGTAGTCGGGTGCCAAGGAAGAGTTGCAAGATGTTAGGCAAACCTATTAAAGGCCTTTTAGAATGGACGAGATATTTTGTTGAAGTTAGGGACGGAAGGGGGAGTTGGGGAATTGCTGAGATTTGTTTGACGTTAAAGTCAATCGGTGAGATCAAGTGCTCCTTTTGAACCATAGTCCCTGAATTAAATCGTAGAGCACTGCCCGATTAAGCTAGTGCGGGCCCTGTAGCATATGTTATAAAGCGGCCCTAAATAAAAAAACACACATTTTTTACTTGCAAAGTAAAGTAATTGTATTTTTTCATTTGCTATACAGCCAGATGATACGACGCATCGCTAACCTTACACACTCAGTCGTTCAGTACAAGTTGAAGGCGGTATAGTACTATAGTAATAGAGCGAGTGCAGAGTCACTGAACCGGAATTGATAGCTTGAAAGCATTTAGCGTGGGGCCCTTGAAAGTGCGGAGTCCGTAGCATACGTAGCTACTTTTGCTACTAAGATAATCAGGCACCAGTACGCAACCCAGTTTCATGCCACGCAAACGTGTTCAGGGTCCGTCCATAAATGACGTCACGCGATTTTGGACGATTTTTGACCCCCACTCGTCACAAAAAATCAGACCCCCCCCCCTCAAATATGACGTCACAAAGCTCTGCCCCCCCCAAAAAAATAAAACATGCTTCAAATCGCTTTAAACTATTGTCATTGTATTTAATGTGGCGTTGCAATCTGATGTTGTAGGAGAAAACATTAAAAAGTATATTTAATTAAGTAGAACGTGTTGTCTACATTTATTTAAAGTTGCGCATTTTGACGTGACGACACATTTCTCAAACTCCACCCCCCCTCGTCACACATCGTCACAAATGTGACGATGTGTGGGTGGCCAACACCACGCCCGGCCGCCTTTGTCTCCCTAGCGGCGATGTTTACACATCGCATCAGATACTCGTTTGAGGCCGAGTCGACCTAGGGGAGGCCCAGGACCGGTTCAGATAATCATCTCCGGTGTTTGCCGTGAGCGGGAATTGAACCCGGGTCGCCAGGTTCGTAGCGCAGCGTAGCGCTAACCGCTACACCACCGCTCCCCCGGTGTGTATACATACACACACACACAACCACAAACGCAACTCTGGTACGGAAAGTTCCAAACCTTGGTCGACAAAGCATGTCGGGGATTGGGCAATTGCTGGTTGGTTAAACGTGGGTCATAAACGTCGTCGAGGATTAACAAAACACATGGTAACCGGCTCGCAAATTAAAACCTCACGTAAGAAAATAACCATGTGCCAAGGGGCTTCACGCGAAAGCAAATGTCGATCAAGCTCAAGGTTGTAAAATGTTGCGGGTTTTGCTCTCCAACACGCCGGCGTTGTTGCTGTACTAGGAGCGAATTTGGTTACGTTCTGTTTACGTGACAAAGGGGCCGTCCATAAATGACGTCACGCGATTTTGGGACGATTTATGACCACTCCCCTCGTCACACGGCGTCACAAAAAGTCAGCCCCCCCCTCAAATGACGTCACAAAGCTCTGCCCGCCCCCCATAAAAATATAAAACATGCTTCAAATCGCTTTAAACTAGTTGTCATTGTAGTGCGTATTTAATGTGGCGCTGCACTCTGATGTTGTAGGAGAAAACATTTATTAAAAAGTATATTTAATTAAGTAGAACGTGTTGTCTATATTTATTTAAAGTTGGTGCATTTTGATTTGACGTCACATTTCTCACCCCCCCCCCTCTAGGTGCGTGACGTCATTTATGGACGGCCCCAAACCCTCTTACTAACTGACCGTGTCGGGTGGTGGCGGGTTTAACGACACATTTATATAAAACCGATATTTTTAATATTGATCGCGAAAGCCTACTGCGTGTTAAATAGATCAAGCAGTTCGCCTAACTATACGTTGTATAAATATAAAAAAATACATGTACCAGAGTGGTGAAGTATGGTCAAACAACCCCTAATCCAGTGGGTTGACATTTGTGTATTATTAAATAAACACTTGCACACGTAATACGCTGCAGGCAATGCTCGATCCACTGCTGGATGAAAAATCCTCCACACCATGTCGCTCATTGGTGTTTGTTTGACCATACTTCCCCACGCTGGTCAGTGCGGATTGGCGAAGGGGTGGTGGTGGTCGACTAGGTAGACTCAGCCTCAAATGAGTAACCATCGCCACTAGGGAGACAAAGGCGGTCGGGCGTGGTTGCTATCCATCCCCACGTGTGCCGTGCCGGCCTTCATAGGTGCTGCAAACTCGCTAACAGCACTTGCCCCAACAGTCTGGTGAAGGCTACAAGGGCGTGGGATCTTTTGTCTTTGGTGGGCGTGGGTTGCGATGTAGAACCTGCCGTCTGGAACGCTCTTCCATCCAATATTCTGAAGCTACTGGGGGCATAAAAGCACCCTTAAAGCATCGTCTAAAATTGACAATCTCGCTACTTTAGAACTCCTTTTTGTGCGTTTGGTTCGTCGGTCCCCTGCCCCTCACCTCCCCTCTCCGATTTAGCTACGCTACGTACGGTGCGAAAGAAGTTTATGCAGAGCCGTGGCCGGGTGAACACGCAGAAACAAAGCAAACAAAATCAAGTGGACACGACGTTAAATGACACGTTGGTGACGGCGAACTGCGTAGTTCAGTGTTGAGCCCCCCGGAAAAAAAGTTAAGAAGAATAATCATCATCATCACTCTCACCTTTAATCTGCAGCTTCCTCGCCTCGTCCACGTGCGATGAGACCACGTCGCCCATGGCTCATCCACTACCTCGTCGACCCAGCCACCACCTCCACCACCAACTCGTCCACCTCGTAGTCCACCTTTCTCCACCGGCCACCTCTTCACCAGGACCACCACCACTCCACTCGAGGGGCCAACAGCCACGCCCTGAGCAGCTATGTACGCCAACTAAATTAACAACCCCTCCCTCCCTCCTTTAAATCAATTAAGATAATTACGCGTCCCCGCCACTAACAATTGCGAACAAGCGACGGGCTCTCCTGCTGCCTGTCGGGGCAAGTGGCGAGCCGAGGCAGCCCTCTCCCTCCCTCTCTCCCTTCTCGCCAGGCTGCAGCTGTGTGCGTGGTGGTGGTGGTGGCTGTGGTCGATGTGGTTGTTGTGTCACTCCACCACGAACTTCTCTCCACTGCCTGTCAGCTGTGCCGCCGCCGCTGCTGCTTTTATACCCCGGGCAAGCGGGGCGCGCGACCCCACACAGAGGCGGGGCATCAGTTGGTAGTGGGCGGGGCATCAGTTGGTAGTGGGCGGGGCATCAGTTAATAGTGGGCGGGGCATCAGTTGGTAGTGGGCGGGGCTATGAGTGGGAGTGGGCGGGGCTATGAGTGGGAGTGGGCGGGGCTATGAGTGGGAGTGGGTGGGGCATCAGTGGTAGTGGGCGGGGCATTAGTTATAGTGGGCGGGGCTATGAGTGGGTGTGAGCGGGGGAGATGAGTAGAGGAGCGGCTCAGTGGAGGGGCCTCAGTGAAAGTGGGCGGGGCCTCAGTTAGTGGGCGGGGCCTCAGTTAGTGGGCGGGGGCTGAGTAGAGCGGCTGAATTAGTGGGCGGGGCTTAGTGAGAGTGGGTGGGGGCTCAGTGAGAGTGGGGAAGGGTGCAGTCGAGCGGGGCACAAAGTGGGTGGGGGCTCAGTGGAGGGGCGGGGCAAGGTGGAAGGGCGGGGCTCAGTGGAGGGGCGGGGCAAGGTGGAGGGGCGGGGCTCAGTGGAGGGGCGGGGCTCAGTGGAGGGGCGGGGCTCAGTGGAGGGGCGGGGCAAGGTGGAGGGGCGGGGCAAGGTGGAGGGGCGGGGCAAGGTGGAGGGGCGGGGCAAGGTGGTACCTCGTGACATTGCTCCCATTAAGACCGCTGCTGCCCTCTGCTGGAAGCATCCACTAGACTCCACCTGCCATCAACATCTCACCACAGCCCTTGGGCCCAGCGTTCACTCTCTCACACTCCATCGAGTACCCGCACACGTGAGCGGACTTCATCGCTCCATCTCTGGTTCTGTGTTTGATCTCTCTCTCAAATTTAGCATTCTCAGGAAGAACGTAATCAAACAGATAGGGTGTTGACTGTTATGTTATCCGACTCTCTGTTGTATTACATTACATTTCTAAGTGTACTAGATTTGTGTTTCTATTTTATTTATACCTGATGATTGCTTGTGTTGCAATCGAAACGTCGTATGCTAGTATTTAATTCATTTATTATTTTATCTTTAATAGTGAATTTACCGAAAGAACCAACGAATAATTCCTGCAGTCACGAAAGCTCCAAATTAAGTTTTATTCGTGAGATGGTCCGAGCATCATCCACGCTCGGCATGACGCGTCCCATCTTTCTTCGCAGTCGATGTGGCGATGTTTTGAAACTGCGTATATTCCTGAATTCAAGTCTTCCTTTCTGTCTCTCAAAATAATTCCAAGAATCTGCTTAAACGTTTTCTTTATTTCCTTTGTCAATGTCCGTGTCAGTTTCGGCGACCCATATACGGGTCATTGAGTGAATTGGGAAATTGAACTGAAAATTACATCAAAGCTGACCAGAACATCATCGGGGTTATGTTTGATTCATTATATTCACCAGGTATTCGGAGTTTTTCAATAGTGACCTGCCAATGCGGTACTGTATTTGTAGACTGCCCCAGAGCTAAACTGAACACGTTCACAACATTCAAATCGGCTCAGTAAAATGTTTAATTCCGAAAAACCAACAAATGCAGCAGCAACAACTCTGAAGAGTAAGTTGCAGTCAGCAAGGCTGCGAACAGACGCACGCTTTATCCGCCGTGTTCTAAAGCCAGTGAGGACATTGCCCCTATTGTTGTGCATGTATGCGTGCGGGAGAGAGCTGATGTCGTACAACTTTTATTGACATCGCTGAAAGTTTTGGGGGATGCTGCTTTACTTTCCGGAGGGCGTTTTATTATCTGGAAGAAAAAAAAAATACCGCGGTAGTTCTATTAAATTGGGCGTGTAACAATTGACTCCCGGCTAGCGATGAAAATTGTCATCGTTTGGGGCCCCCCGATTCAATTGACAAAGCATGGGGGAAGGGGTAAGGAGGAGCGGGAGGGGCGGGGGGGGGGGGGCGGGGGGGGGGGGCCAGGGGAGGCCAGGGGGGAAGACGACCCCCCCAACTCGCGCTCAGGACCAGCCGGCGAGCAGTGCGTGTGGCATCAGCGACAGACGCGCTCCCTCCAGCATCGCCGCCGCCTCCACCAGCTGGGCACATCCAATCTCCAGCTTCTCCCTGCCACGCGGGGAGTGGCGCGGGGAGTGGCGCGCCGAGGCACGGGGGAGCAGCAGGGGGGGCGGACAGAGAGACGTTACGCGAATGGGCCTCACGGCAAACGCGGTGGGGGGGGGGCGGCGAGGGGGGCTGGGGGAGTTTTGTTTGAAGGAATGTCTTCTTGGTTCTTTCGGTAAAGTCACGTAGAATGGAAATAATAAAAGAATAAAAGAAAAACAATAAAATTATTCTGTTTTATTTTGGAAATAATAAAATAAAATAAATAAAACATAAAAATATTCTGTTTTATTTTTTTTTATTTTATTATTTCCATTCTACGTGACTTTACCGAAAGAACTAAAAATAAAACATAATAAAATAATTCTGTTGTATTTTTATTATTTTATTATTTCCATTCTACGTGACTTTACCGAAAGAACCAAGAAGATGAATCCCTGCAGTCACGAAAGCTTTAAATCGAAATTGAAGGAATTTGTTTTTTTAAAATCTTTTTCTCTTTTAAGTTTATCCGAAATGCGCCTTTGACGTCACCGCCACGAGGAGGCGAAGCGGCCGTTTGGATCGCTCGCGGAGCAGCGTGAACATTCTCCAGTTACAAAACGGCCTGCGGAAGTGGACATCAGAGAGCTACCATCGTGGTCCCTTCAAGTGACCTCGGCTGCACACTGCGGAGGGCAGCAGCACTTTCCCACCCACTCTCCGTCCGAGAATGATATCCGCTTCATTACAGTCACATAGCTATCTTCTTTGGGTCTTTCGGTAAAGTCACGTAGATAGGTTAAAAGAAAATAATAAAAAAAGAACAAACAACTACGACGTTTCGATCGCAACACAAGCGTTCGTCATCAGGAAGAACGCTTGTGTTGCGATCGAAACGTCGTAGTTTTTTGTATTTTTTTTGTTATTTCCTTTGAACCTATCTACGTGACTTTACCGAAAGACCCAAAGAATGGGAATTCCTGCAGTCACGAAAGCTTTCAGTCAAGATTCACATCGCTGTCAACCCGTACGGTTTACCCCGTATTCTTGTACAGGGAAATTGAGTTTTCAGGTCAATACGGCGGCGTACAGCCGTTTCAATACGGGCATCAACAACAAAAAATGTCTAGATTTGAAGCTTTCGTGACTGCAGGGATTCATACTCTTAGGTTTTTTCAGTAAAGTCACATAGGTAGAAAATTATAAAATAACTAAATTAAATCACGACGTTTCGGAGGCAACACAAGTCTCCGTCTTCAGGTGGGATCGTCACAGCTGACCTGAAGACGGAGACTTGTGTTGCCTCCGAAACGTCGTGATTTATTATTTTATTCTTTTTAACCTACGTGACTTTCCCGAAAAAACCTAAGAGAACAAAAAATGTGTCTATTTGTTTGCGTTTCTCCCTTGTGATGGGACTTTGTAGGAGGAACGTTGAGATGTATAACGACACGGGTTGACCGATAGGGTATGAATTGTTATGTAATAAGGTAGGCACTGAAAAGAGGTTCACAGGTATGCAGTCAGGCCACTCGCTGGGATTACCATCACAGCGAGTGTCCTCCACGCCTTCTGATATGGGCCCCCACCCACCAATTGGGAATTCCCGCCCACCACTCGAGTAGCCCCGCCCACGATTCAGGTAGCCCCCACCTACTATTCGGATAGCCCCACCCACTATCCCAGTAACACCGCCCACTACTCGAGTAGCACCTCCCACTACTCGGGTAGCCCCGCCCACTACTCGGGTAGCCCCGCCCACTACTCGACTAGCCCCGCCCACTACTCGAGTAGCACCGCCCACTACTCGAGTAGCACCGCCCACTACTCGGGTAGCCCCGCCCACTACTCGAGTAGCCCCACCCACTACTCGGGTAGCCCCGCCCACTACTCAGGTATCCCCGCCCACTACTCGGGTAGCCCCGCCCACTACTCGGGTAGCCCCGCCCACTACTCGGGTAGCCCCGCCCACTACTCGAGTAGCCCCACCCACTACTCGAGTAGCCCCACCCACTACTCGGGTAGCCCCGCCCACTGCTCAGGTAGCCTCACCTTCTGTCTTGATCATGAGTGGCGTATGAGGCCAGAAAATATGAAATCGGGACAAAATCATGTTTTTCACAAATCCTTTAGGGGGACTGTCCCAGCCAAACCGGGGCATTTAGTGGCCGTATCTCACCTCTGCTGTGGACCAAAGAGACACTGGAAGAGGCTCTGTGGGGTCAGCGTGCACTGTCGAAGCCTCAGCTGCAGTGTACTCGCAACATGGGAGAAACCAACAAGGGTCATTAGTTCTTTGAACTGTGCACCTTTTGGCGTCATCTGGTCGAACACCATATGAGACTAGGCTCCAAAGAAAGCTGTCTCTGGTGTGGACCAATCAGTTTCAAAGACAATGCATAAATTATCAGAGTATTGTTTTTTTGTTTGCATTTGACTGCAAGTATTGTGGTTAATGTAAGCATGATTCCTTGCAAAAGGTGTCAGTTTTGTTGCCAGAAAAAAGGGGAAAAACCCTATTAGTATAAGGGTTGTTAGTGTCAGCCCCGGGACAAGAGGCCCTGTGCCTCCGTGGTGCTCTGGGATATTACCGTTCGGCGCAGAGAGAATAGTCAACGGTGTCTTGCCGAAGTGCTCGTGTTGAGGTTAGGGGTAGAACTATGGCGCTCGTGTCCGTTTGTAAGAGTTGCTTAGACTTGCAGGTAGGATTTAAGTGGGCGAGAGGGCTAGTGCTAGTGGTATTGGATCGGGGGTATTGTGAGTGTTTGGGCTGGTCATTGTGGTTAGCGCATTAGCTCTAGTCCTCGTGGATAGTTTTTTTTACTTTTATTAATTTACATTTTTTACCTACGTGACTTTACCGAAAAAACCTAAGAATATGAATCCTTGCAGTCACGAAAGCTTCAAATCTAGAAATAGTTGGCTAGTTCGAAGTAGAGACTACCATTTTGTTGGCTCATCAGGGTTCGGACTAGTGAGATGCTGGTTAGTTAGGGCTATTACCCGCGGCTGGTTTGGCATCCTATTGTTTTGGGGCGAGCATCAGGATATGCCTCGTGTGCAACATCCACAGCCTAGTCGGCCCCCTTCATCGCCACCGCCATTGCGACTCGTGACCCTCTTCAATACTCCTGCCGCGCTTTCCTTTTCCGCACTGTTTACAGCACCCACCTAAATCTCCTCCCTGCCCCTTCCGTATTTTCACAAACTATCGGTGGCCACCCTTCCTGACAAACTATCGCTGGTGCGGTGGTTAAAAATATCTCCACAATGGGACGCTACGACCGCGGTATTAATATTCCCCTCCTCTTAACGAATTGTGCCTACGAAGGCAAATCGCCCGAAATGTGCCCGATCTCGTCGTATCTTGGAAGCCGAGCAGGGGCGCGAGCCTCCATAGTTCTTGTTTGGGCGAGCACCGCCGCTGAACTGGTTGCGATAGGCTGCTGCGGGGCTGTGTTGTGCACAGCCCGGGGCAATGGCAATGGGCAAAAAATAACAACAGAACTTTGGTAGCGTGCGCTCATACGCCGCTCCCCACATTTCACCGACACGTACAGACCAGCATTTGGAATTAAATCTGGCGTGGGGAGGCACTCATCCAACAGTGGATAAACTGTAAACAATTTTTTTGTATATTATCGTGTAAGACCCACTAAGCTATCTCGCTCTTTTTCAAAACAACCTGGTTATCACACATGATAGCTCAACGAAGTGGCTTATCACGTGGAAATGTATAGCAGCGAAAGTCTTAAACGCATGTTTCTAACTGCCGAGGGAAAAACCGGACAAAAATCCACACTACCACGGGGACAGAGACATGCAAACTCCGAATATACAGCAGGCGTGATGAAAGTCTGTGAATTAAAACAAAACCTCTGTAGACCCTCTCACCAATCCACTTTGCGATCAAGACCTCCCGACGCCGTGTCCTCCGACCAGCCCGATTGGCTACGAACGGTGCGAAAGAAGTTCAACGTACGGTACAGTATGTACGTACTCGTCGGTGAACGGGGGTCTGTTTGGTCACACTTCACCCCCTTGCTCGTCAGGGTGGGGTCGCTGAAGCGTTAGCAGGAGTGGGGGGGGGGGGGCGAGTGGGCCAGGACTGGTTGCTGATAGTAGCACCATGGCCGGGAATACAACTCAGGTGGGGTCAGGTTCTTAGTGCAGCGAGCTAATCACTGCACTACCGATCCATGGCTGACGCCTATACGTGTGTGTGGGTGTGTGGGGAGCGGCGGTGCAGCGGTTAGCGCGCTGTGCTACGAACCCGGCGGCCCGAGTTCCATTCCCGCTCATGGCCAACACCAGTGACAATTATTTAAACCGGTCCTGGGCCTCCCCTAGGTCGACTCAGCCTCAATGAGTACCTAGCGTGATGTGTAAAACATCGCCACTGTGGAGACAAAGGCGGCCGGGCGTGGTGCTGGCCACCCACATCCTTGTGTGCCGTTCCGGCCTTCATAGGTCCTACTTGCTAACAGCACTTCCCCCAACAGTCTGTTAAGGCGACACGGGGGATCTTTGTCTGTATGTGTGTGGGTGTGCGCACCACTTGGCAGTTCACGAAGCCCTGCAGGACATTGCAGAGCTGAGTGATGCTGTGTTCACTGCAGTTTGATTCCAGGACCCTGGCACAAACACAAAGGGAGGCTGCATATCACCACCACAGCCAAGATCTGAGACAGCGACGACTGTCGTGAAAAACCTGGCTCGAGCATTAACACTGATCTCAAAGAATCCTAACTGCCTTAGTCTGGTCTTTAGTCTTGGATACTAACGCATAACCCTCAGAACCCTAACCGTGCCTAAAGTCTGGCTCTACGAACCTCGGGCATTCACACCGAACACTAAGAATACCTCTCGTTCACCTCCTTCCATTCCTCTCTTACAGCCAACCTCTTCCCCATTTTCCATTCTCTTCCCTCTCCTTCCCTTCCCTACTCCCTACACACCCCTCCATCGTTACACCCTCCCCTCCGCTATCTTCTACGCCCGCCGCTACCGTGACCACCTCCCCCCTATCCTTCCCTATCCCCCACGCCCCCCCTCGATCGTAACCACCTCCCCTCCCCTACCCTTCCCTATCCCCTACGCACCCCTATACCGTGACCACCTTCCCTTCCCTATCCCCTACGCACCACTCTACCATGGCCACCCATTCATCATCCCCTCGCAAGCCCCTGCCATCCACGTCATGTCCACTGTTCACGCCGTTTTTTTGGTTTTAATCGCATTAAGCGCCTCCATAGAAGCGCGTTCTACAGAGGTACAAGATAGTAAAACCGTGGCCACGTGGCGTCACACTCACGCGCCCACGGAGGAGGCGAGGGTGCGCACGGCCGGCACCAGCTCCTGCAGGAAGGCCCAATCCGGCCGAGCCACTGACGAGACTTCGGCGCTGACGGTCAGCCGCCCCGCGTGCCCGCAGATCAGCTCCCTGGCACGGCGGCACAAGGGAGGAAATGATGGCGCGCGCCATCCGGGGCAATGACGCCGGCTTTGTCGCTGTCGTCGTCGTCAGTGATAGCCTCGTTATCATCATCTTCTTTGTCAATGCTGTCATCGGCATCGTAGTCAATATCGTCATCATCATCATCGTCGTCGTAGTTAAAATTATTTGTACAAGTAATGAAAAAAATGAGATTGACACTGGCCAAAAAGGGTCCCTTGTACAAGTAAACTAAATAAATAGGCTTTGATACCGGTTAAAAAACGGGTATGTGTGATGAACTTCTTTCGCACCGTACGTAGCCAACCGCACTAATTGGAGGTGCGGAGGAAGGACAACAAACCAAACACAAAAAGCAGTTCTAAAGAAGTGAGTTTTTAATTTAGATTTAAAAGTGCATAGCTCCAGTGGCTTTCTAATATCGGAGAGAAGACCATTCCAGACGGCCGCAGAAGCTCGTTTCTTTGTTTGATGGTTAGACAAAAGCCGCCGCGGCGAGGATGACCCAAGTTTGCGTGATAGTTTATGCTCCGTGACGAGTACAAGCAATTTCCGAGAATATTATCAACTTTGGCGAAGTTGGACCATGTGGCGTGGCCACACAAGGGCCCTACCCTCTCTCGGTGAGGGTAGGGCCCTGTCCGCCACGGTGGCTAGGAGATGTTAACTACCTCGCCTGGTATACAGGAGGTCGCGGGTTCGATCCCGACCCCGATGCCTGCTGCTGTATATTTGGAGTTTGCGTGTCTCTCTCCCCGTGGTCGTGTGGACTTTTCTCCAGACCCACCGGTTTTTCAATCAACATTTAAAATCAACGTCACGCGTTTAGGGTGCTGCTATAAATTTCCACGCGATAAGCCACTTTCGTTGAGCTATCATTTGCGATGGCCAGGTCGCATCTGGGCCTTTGCTGGTAAGGTGAAAAAAACTGTTTATAGAATCACACGGTGGGATCTGTCGTCGCTCACTGCCAAGCGAACCGGGTGAGCTGGGGGGCACCTTTACCTTTGTCTCTCTCACCTGGACTGGTCGACCGCCCTCCACACGTCCTCCAAGACCTCCCAGGGGTCTCCGCTAGCGGGGCCGGCGGCCGCGCCGGGAGCGCCGGCGTCCACGACCGCCGGCCCCTCGGCCGCCCTCGGCGCGCTCCGAGTGCTCGCGGCCTCCTCCTCCTCCGCTGCGGCGGCATCGTCGTCGTCGTCGGCCGCAACCTCATCGCCTGCCACCTCGTCGCCTCCGACCGCCTCCACCACCTCCTTGACGTTGAGGGGAATTTCGAAAAAAATTAAGCGGCGTCTAAATTTCGATTTAAAGCTTTCGTGACTGCAGGGATTCATCTTCTTGGTTCTTTCGGTAAAGTCACGTAGAAGGGAAATAATAAAATAATAAACATTTAACATAATAAAATAATACAAATTTTACATAATAAAATAATTTTCACGACGTTTCGGCCACAACGCAAGCAGCCGTCCTCAGGTGAAGAACAGGTCTGTCGGAAAGACAGCGTCACCTGATTGCCGAGGCGCTTGAGGGGCATCAGCGCTGCGTAGGCTCGGGGGACGGAGCCGCCGTACTCGGAGCGCTTCCCGAACTCCCGCAGGATCGTCAGGGCACCGTCCAGGGACGCCGGGGCCCAGCGTGCGTCGGCGACGTCCTTCCTGCCCCACACACCTGCCGGGGCGGGGCGGAGGTGGCCACGTCTCGGTCAGCGTCGCCGGACGCGTGGGGGCTTTTGTCCACTGCTGGGGTGAAAGGCTCCGCGTGCCGGGGGAGACCCAAACGCGCGTGGTGGTGTGCTGTGTGTTGTATTTGTGTTGTGTTATATTTGTGTGCTGTGTTGTATTTGTGTGCTGTGTGTTGTATTTGTGTGCTGTGTTGTATTTGTGTGTTGCGTGTACGGTGTGTGTTGCGTGTGCGGTGTGTGTTGTCTTTGCGTGTTGTGTGTCCTGTGTTGTGTGGCATATGTTGTGGCATGTTGTGTTGTGTGCATGTTGTGTGTGGCGTGTGTTATGTGTTGGGAGCAGAAGCGGGTAGCGGATTGCACGGTGAACCCAGTGGCCCGACCAACAGTGGCGACTATTGGAACCGGTCGTGGGCATCACCTAGGTCGACTCCATCTTAATGTGTATCTGGTGCAGTGTGCAGACATCAGCACTGGGGAGACAAAGGCGGCCGGGCATGGTGTTGGCCACCCATCCCTCATGTGTCGTGCCAGCCTTCATAGGTGCTTGCTAACAGCACTGTCCCCAACAGCCTGTAAAAGCTATCGGGGCGATCTCTGTCTTTGTGTTGCGTGTGATCTGTGACGTGCGTGTGTAGTGTAACCACGCTGCGTACGCGGTGTGCTTTAAATAAGTTTGTTTATGTATGCGTGTTGAACTTCTTTTGCACCGTACGTAAGCCAACCGTGCGAATCAGAGGTGTGGGGGAACTGAACACAAAAAAACTGTTCTAAAGAAATTACCTTGTCAATCTAGATTATTTAAAAGTGCAGACCTTCCTAATATCGCAAGGAAGTGCGTTCCAGACGGCCGCAGAAGCGCATCTGAAAGCGCTCGATGCGGTAACCGCTGCTGCGAGGATGACCGGAGTTCGCTGTGTGCTCCTCGACGAGATTCCGCAAGCTATGGCGTGTACGTGTGGCGTGTACGTGTGGCGTGCACGTGTGGCGTGTACGTGTGGCGTGTACGTGTGGCGTGCATCTGCGCGTGTGCGCGTTCGCGAGTGCCATCCGTCCTTGCGCGAGCGTGCGACGCCTACGCCGGTGCTGCTGCTTCTGCAGCGCCATCACGGTCTGCTGCAGGCCGCGGCGCACCACCGAGCCGAACACGGCGCTCCAGTGCTTGTTCAGGCAATGCAGGGCGTGCGCCAGCGTGTACGGAGGGGGCATACACACAACCTGACGGGGTTGGGGGGGGCGGGGAAAGAACATTTCAAAACTCGGCACAAGGGCGCGTCAGTTTACGTGCGCCAATTGCGATCAACCCGGCGACGCGAGTTCAATTCCCGGTCGGCGGAGAGCGCTGTCGGAGCCAGCGGTGGAAATTACACGTTCCCTAGCCGGGCGCCGGGGGGCTCAGCGGGAAAGCGAGCAGCTCGCAAGGAGGAAGGTCTGATTGGCTGGTTGGCCTGGCCCATCATCCCGCCGGGGTCAATAAAATGAGTGCCACCTCGTGGGGGTAGTCAACAGCGGTTGTCTGGCTCAGAAGTCGGGTCGCCGGGTTCGTAGCGCAGCGCGCCATACGCTGCACCGACGCTCCCCAGAAACGACAACCACATGCCGCCATTCGCCACGAAGTGGCGGTGACGTCACCGTGGCCTTTCTACCAGGCTATGTGCACTTTGAGGCCACGTCAAGTGTCAAAGGCTCACTGGCAAGGAGGTCACAGGACAGACCCGGGTGCCATGGGTGACTGGCAGATGCACCACCGCTCCCCTAAAAGCCAAAAAGAAAAATCCCCCGTATGGCGTTAACAGACTGTTGGGGCAAGTGCTGTGAGCAAGCATCTACAAAGGGGGTGGGTGGACAGGACCACGCCCGGCCCCCTGTCTCCCTTGTGGCGATGTTTGCACACCACACCAGGTACTCATTTGAGGCCGTGTCGACTTCAGGGAGGCCCACGACCAGTTAATCGTCACTGGTGTTGGCCGTGAGCTGGAATCGAACCCGGATCGCCGAGTTCATAGGGCAGCATGCTGTCCACTACACACCGCTCCCCACACCACCGCTGCCGCTCATAAACACGCACATGCGCACAGGCCGACATGCAGACCCATGCAAATGTACGCACGTCCAGCCATTTGTCATCGTAGGCCAGCTTCATCTCCTCCTCCACGATGGCAGCGAGGGCATCCTTAAAGTCCGTGTGCAGCAAGCGGTGAATGCGCTGAGTCAGCTGATAGCCGGCATCTTTCTGCCCGTGCCCGGCTGGACCCTGCCCTCTCGTGCTGACAGCGGTACGGTCCCCCGCTCGTGCACGGGAACGGTCCATCCCAGCGGCCAGCTGGCATTCAGGGCTGGACGGGGCGACTGGGGAAGAGAAGAATTGGCCCAGGCTGTAAACATGTACATAGAATAATAAAGTACATTTGGTATTCATGCCATTCTTATAACACAAGGACATCAAGAAGGTGCTATGTTTCAGAGGCTTGTATGCCAGTAGGGACAGATATAACACATTCCTGCGGAGGGAGCTGGTAGGAACGTTGGGTTGCTCGGTCAATGGCCAGGGTCAACGGCGGCGTGAATAGGTTAAACGTTGAGTTTTATAAGGGCACCACGGGGTGACCAGCCTCTCCCTACCCAGCCCTACCCCCCTCCCACCCCCCACCCAGCCCCACCCTCCCCACCCTCCCCTCCCCACCCAGCCCCTCCTTACCCAGCCCCACTCCACCCTCCCCTCTCCACCCAGCCCCACCCCTCCCATTTTTGGATGCACAACAGACGGACGAACGAACACAATAATCCCCTGTGGGCTGGTGTAACCAGGAGGTTCCTACCAGTATCACTCACCCTCTGACTCACCTACAGACTCACCTACTCAGCGGTCCATCAGCTTAAGTCTTACCTACACACTCACTCACCTACTCACCCACCCACTCACCTATTTAGCGGTCCATTGGCATAAAACTCACCTACACTCGCTCACTCGCTCGCTCACCCACTCACCTACTCAGCGGTCCATCAGCCTTGAACTCACCGCTGCTGCATGTTTGAGACTGTTCATAGACGTTTAAGCAGTTCAGTACGAAATACAAGATATAACTCTTTCATAGAGCTTACAACGTAACAAATATTGTGCACTCGTGATAGCCTAGCTTATAAGAGCTGCGCATTTATAAGTGTACTCACTTACTCACGTGACGTACGGAAAGACTGGACTTTGTTAATGAGTTTTACTGCAAGAGATGCAACAGGCGGCAAACACGGTCACACTCAGCCACGTCCGATTCCCCTACCTACAATTAGCACCGTTGGCTACGTACGGTTCCATAGAAGTTCAATATACATTCATAGACTCACATAGAGGCCCATAGACTCACACAGAGATCTATAGACTCACAGAGAGTCCCATAGACTCACACAGAGACCCATAGACTCACAGAGAGACCCATAGACTCACACAGAGACCCATAGACTCACACAGAGACCCATAGACTCACACAGAGACCCATAGACTCACACAGAGACCCATAGACTCACACAGACACCCATAGACTCACACAGATATCCATAGACTCACACAGAGACCCATAGACTCACACATAGACCCATAGACTCACACAGAGACCCATAGACTCACACAGAGACCCATAGACTCACACAGAGACCCATAGACTCACACAGAGACCCATAGACTCACACAGAGACCCATAGACTCACACAGACACCCATAGACTCACACAGATATCCATAGACTCACACAGAGACCCATAGACTCACACATAGACCCATAGACTCACACAGAGACCCATAGACTCACACAGAGACCCATAGACTCACACAGAGACCCATAGACTCACACAGAGACCCATAGATTCACACAGAGACCCATAGTTTGTTGTCCTTCCTCCGATTAGCACGGTTGGCTACGTACGGTGCCGAAAGAAGTTCAACACACAAACATACAAACGTATCACCGCCCCAGGGAGGCTTGTGGGGAGCGTAGCGCCAAGACAGGAAGAAACACGGAGCATACCTCGGCAGCTACGACCCGCCACTCGTCAGGGCTAAGGAGTTACCGTCGGCACGCGGGTGTCCCGTGGTGGCTTACGAGTTCAACGGGCGCGCGGTCACGGACGGCCCGGCAAGGGGGCATCGACGGCGCGCCGCCGACGCGCCGAGCTTACCGCGCCGTGGCGGGGCGGGAGCGCCGGCCTCCTCGTCGGCTATCCGGCCGAGTTCCGCCGCGAGGTTTCGCACCGTGCACGCGTTGAGCCCGCTCACCAGCGCCTTCGAGCAGAGGTTCACGTCGTCGCTGAGTACGCAGGGGATGTTTTGGGAAGAGGGGTGGGGAGAGAGGTCGGCAGGTCAGCGGGTCAGAGGTCAGCGTACGAGCGATGTGGTCAACTCTTATCCTCGCAGCAGCGGCGGCGGCTTTTGCTGGGTCGCGCTTTCGGATGCGCTCCTGCGGCCGTCTGGAACGCTCTTCCTTCCGATTTATTAGGAAGCCCACTGGGAGCTATGCACTCTTACGTCGTCTAGATTGAAAACTCATTTCTTCAGAAGTGCTTGTTGTGTTTAGTTTGTTGTCCTTCCCACGCACCTCCGATTGGCACGGCTGGCTACGTACGGTGCGAAAAAAGTTCAACACTATAAACCCCGGCAAACGTTTCCAAAAAGTCTTCTCTGTCTACGCTTGATATTTCTTACAAACACACAAGGGAGCTTGTTACCTGCCGGAGACCTGGGTTACAGACGGTCAGCGTGAATCATCGATCACGTGATCATACACTGGCTGATCGTCCTTTTTCCTCCTTGTATGTGCACGTGTGCACGTGTGCGTGTGTGCATGCACGTGAGTGCACACACGTGTGTGTCTTTCGTCTTTGTGCACACGTGCGGAGCGGTTAGCACGCTGCGCCATGAACCCGGCAACAGGAGTTTGATTGCCGATCACGGCCACCGCCAGTGACGATTATCTGAAACGGTCCTGGGCCTCCCCTAGGTCGACTCAGCCTCAAATGAGTGCCTGGTGCGGTGTGGAAACATCGCCACAAAGAAAGGCGGTCGGGCGTGGTGCTGGCCACCCACCCCCTTGTGGACCGTGCTGACCCTTAAAAGTGCTCGCCAATGGCACTCGCATCAACAGCCTGTTAAAATCCGTCATGGGGGATGCTTGCCTTAGTTGTGTGCATCTGTGTGCCCGAACGCACAAGTGTGTGGCGTACGTGAGCAGCAGAGTGCGCGCGGACGGGTGCTGTTGCTTGCACTGCAGGCTGCACTGCAGAACGCCATCATTGTTAGACTCCTCCAACAGGCCGCCTGCAATGACAGCACCACCGCCATCCTTCATCCTTCACCGTAGCCCCCGTTTTTCACGTCAACTTGTCTGTCTACATGTCCTCGTTGAGGCTACGGGATGCCCTGACCCAAATTGACGGCTCTTATCTTGCAGGTACCCACCGAGGCCACCCTACACGAGTTTGACGCTTCACTGACGAGAAAACCACTTTTAAGCGATTCTCAGAAGCGCTCTGCCGACGTCACCATAGCTAATGTAACACAAGCGAGCTCTGGACCGGTTTCGACATGCGGTGTCTCATCCGCAGTCAGGCTCGCTTGAAACAATTCTGTATATATTACGCACTCCCAGGAGGCCGTACGGCTCTCGTGTAACAACACTTGTGCATCACGCGGAATACTCGGACTCATTACGTCTCGCGGGAGATCGCTCCGCCGAACAAACCAGTTCCGCGGTTCGGTTCGTGAGCACGATCCAACGTTCGCAAGTCGGACGGTAAAAAATAACAGCCCCAAATGCCGGTTCGTCCGTGAGTGCTGATGTTTGTCAAGTCGAACGCTCGTATCGCGGGGAACTGCCTGCAAACATTCGGTACTCCGACGCAGGCGCGAGCCGTGCCCGCCCCTCCCCGGGGACGCGGAGTGGCGGAAAACCCGCACCCGCGTCCGCGATGCCCACTCACACGGGCGCTGGCTCGCCTCCTGCACCGACTGGCCCCGCAGGCGCGGCAGTCGGCGTGCCAGGCAGTCGTTCAGGTAGCTCGTGGCGCGCTCCACCATCCCCGCCGTGCCCCCGTCCGCCGCCTCCTCCTCCCCCGCCGACGCCGTGGCTCCTCGCGCCGCCCGACGCCGCCCGCCCTTGAGGGAGCCGAGTTCCTGCAGAACCGCCCAGGGCACGAGCAGCGTGGGGGCGCCGAGACCTGCGGCCCGGCCCCCACGAAGCCGACGCCGGTGAACGCATGGCGGTGCGACGAGAGACGGCCTGCTCGGCGGCGTCAGGCGTTCGAAACACACACGACGGCTCGAGGGCCAGTAACAGCTGTTCAACACGCGGCATGGGACGGAGGCAGGCGTACGGCACAGGACTGGGACGGTCGCTCTACGCATGGCGCGCGAGAGAGACGCGCGAGAGAGACGCGCGCGCGCACACGCGGTCAGTCGACGCGCGACTGACGCTCGTAGTCGAGCCGGTCACTCAACTGGGCAGCATTCGACAGTCGCGGAGCACGTGACCGGTGGCACAAGTGCTCTGCGTGCTCTCGACTCTCATCCCCTTGTCACGACGAAGATGGAGCCCTTATTGCCTGTGAATATGATCATCTACCTCTCTCTGTGGAATTAATATAACGGACTCACATGGAGATTTCAGACTCACATAGTGACCTATGAATCTACAGGGACCCATATTATCTCACATAACCACATACTCACATAGATACCCATATATCCACAGCCCATTACACTCACACAGAGAACCATATACACACATAGAGACTCATATACCTATACACAGATCCATATAACCACATAGGGATTCACAGACTCGCATAAGGGACCCAGACTCACAACAGAGACCCTATGACTGACCGCCCCTCTCTCCAAGACATTACCACAGCAGCTTGAGAAGCAGTCGCGTGTGGACGCTGAATAAACCTACCGCGCTGCACGATACAGAGGCCGCGTTATTCCTGCTCAGCATCGGCCTGCGTCGCATCGGCCCGGCAAACAAAACCATCACCGCCCCTGCCACAGACAGACTGTTGGTGAATGGTGCTTTTTATTAAAGATTTTTGCTGGTTTTTTCCTGGATTTTTCTGTTTGCGCATAGTCACTTTTAGATGTTTTCTTGTTCATGTTTTTGTTTTTTGTTTGTTGCAGTTGCACCCGATTCAAGAGCCGAATGGCTCACAGGTCTATACAAAATAAATGAAACTGATAAAAACTGAAAACTCAAACACTGGTAGCGAGCAGCACCTATGAAGGCCGGCACGGCACACGAAGCGGTGGGTAGCCAGCACCACGCCCAATCGCGTTCGTCTCCCGCGCGGCGATGTTTACTCATTTGAGGCTTAGTTGACCTAGAGGAGGCCCAGGACCGGTTCAGATAACCATCACTGGTGCCGGTGGCCGTGAGCGGGAATCGAACTCGGGTTGCTGGGTTCATCACGCAGCGTGCCGACCGCTGCACTACCCGTGGCCATGTTGACTACACACCGCACCAGGCTGAGTGGACCCCTGCCTCCCACACACGAAACCCCCCCCCCTGTCCCCCACCACCCCCTCCATCCCCTCTCCCCACCGTCGCAGGGAGCTCACCAGGCACGCGCCACTCCCTCAAACGACGCACGAGTGGCAGCTCTTGCAGGAGGACGTTGGTGTCGAGGACCACGTGCAGCCGGCAGGGCTCTACACAAGACACGGCACACGCGACGCAGAGCTGCGGTCACCGTGATGACGCGGTCGACGCGACGACGCGTCACGCAACACGGCCGTGAGACGGCCAATCGGTTCGCGCGCGTTCGCCGCTCGACCAGAGGTTCGCGGTTCGGATCCAGCGGCCGCTCCCCTCCATGCCCCTCCCCACCTCCCCCCCCCTTCCCCCTCAAACCCCCCCCACCCCTCCCCCGATTACTACTGCGGCGGTGCGCATACAGCGTAACGGTACCGCGCCCCCGTCTGCTTCACAGCGGGGCATTAAAGATCACTTGACATTCTGTGCCGGCGTCAGGGTGCCAATTTGCCAATTTCGAAAAACTACCCGCAACATAATCGAGTGGAACTATACATGGCAATCGTCGGCCCCGATTGTAACGGAGCAGCAGGCAATATGCAGACTTTGTGAGCTCCATTAAAGAGTTCTGCCTTGCATTTTCTACCAGACTGGTTAAATCTCTGCCAAGAGTCTCGAACATAGGTGCAGCGGACGGTGAGCTCCAGATCCGATGGACCGCGCGAGCAGGCTGCCGAGTGGGTTGGGCGAGTCGGTGAGCGTTACGGCAAATCACACGTGGGGCGCGAGGAGTCCGTCTCCCTCGTCGTGGATCGCGCCCGCTACATAAACGCGGCCGCGGGCGGGTCTGCCACGGCGCCCACTCGGCCGGCTAGCGCAGGTCACCTGCAGTTCCGCCGCCGGCGAAAGACGGTGGCGGCAAGTCCACCTCCATGCGGCACGGCTGCCCGCCGCCCCCCTCGTCGCCAACGACAGCCAACGACGCTGACCGCGGAGGGTCGTCGTGCCCATACACGGTCTGCGGAGGAACAGGGAGGAGCGTTACGACGGCCGTTGTACTCTGCCGTGGCTTCAGGTTCGCGCGACCGAAGCTCGCGGACCTCCGTCTCATTGGCATATGCGGTAAGCCCTCGTTTTTAACGCGGAAGACGCATTAAGCGAAAACAATTGAGCCATAAGTAATGCTCTGGCGAGATACGATGTACGCGCCGTGCTGTGAGATGGCGGGACAAATAACCGTGTCATTCCGCGTTACTGTATCGTACCGCACAGATTCGAACTTGGACCACTGTAACATCACCGTACAGCGGTCATTATTACTGAGGCTCACAGAGCCAGACCAAGACGCCTTTCACAATGTTCTAGGCATGTTATCATCATCAGCCATTGTCTATCCACTGCTGGCCTCCCCATGACGTCACCATCCCTCACCATCCTGAGTCCCATCTCACTCCTGCACATGAGCTGATCTCAACGCTCCATCTCCGCAGCGGTCGAACCTCTTGGGAGACACGTTCTCTCCTTTGTGAGTTCGTGCCCGAGGCTTGTAGGGCCAGATAAAGGCACCTTTAGGATTCTCACGGTTCAGTGCTAATGCCCGAGGTTCATATAGCCAGTTGAACACACCTCTACGATTCTTAGGGCACAATATAAATACCTATGGCTCACCGAGGCAGACTAAGGCATCTCAGGACTCCGGGTCTCCGGCCGTGACTCTCACCGTTTCCGTCTCGACGATGGCACTCATCTCCCAGTCCGGCTGCACCGCGAGCCGCGCTTTTGGCGGCACCACCGCCACATTCGGTCTAACACGCTCCACTACACTCTCCCCCACGTTGCGCCCTCCTCTCTCCTTCACCCGCACTGCATTTATGGCCAATTCCGGAATCGCCCTCTCCTCCTCCTCCTCCCCTCTGGCACGTAGCTCTGCGTTGTTCTTCGCCGTCAGCCGGTCCTGTTCTTCTCGGCCCGCGCCGGGTACCATGGCCGGCCTGCCGGGGCCAATTTTCAACTGGACCTTGGGTCGTTTGCTCGCGACGGACGGCGCCCGCTTCTTCGCGGGAACCTTGAGACGGCACTCCGCCTCCGGTGCCCCCTGCCGAGCGGCCGCGGGTTTTGCCCGTCCCATGGTGGCGGGCCGTGCCCCTGGCCTACGTCCCTCCGCCCCCAGCGGCCGAACCCGGTTGCACGAAAACGACAAACCCTTTCCAGAACCTTCCCCGACAGCGCTGCCGCCGTCGTCGCGCTCAAGTTCCGCATGAATAGACGGTTTCACGGCACTTGGAACCGCTCCTTCTTTCTTGCCGGACCCTCGCCCGGAGCTCTGCACATTCTCTCCCAATTTGCTTCGACTTGCCACCCGGGCCGACTTGCACTTCAAGGCGAGCCCCGTCCGTTCGCCTCCCGTCGCCCTCGGGATCGCCGCTTTTTCGGCCTTGCCCTGGCCGTCGCGCGACGAGCCCTGCGAATCCCGCCTGGCCACGCCGCGCGGTTCCGCGGGTCTCACAGCGCTACCGCGCTCGCTAGCGCTCGCCTCGAACCGACGGACATGCTCCGAGCGACGCTCCAACAGTTCCGCCACCGCGGCGCGCGTTAGGACTCTACCCGGACTGCCGGGCGCTGTCAACTTCTCCCCCTTCTTGGCTGAAACCGCCAATGAAGCCGACGTTGGCCGGGTCATCGTCGCCGATGCGGTGGGCTTGCCGACGGCGCGCCTTTTCACGGGCGGTTCATCCGTCGGCTTCTGCTGGCGTCGATCGGGTTTGGCCGGGATGCTCGGCTTGAAGTTGGCGCGTGAAGAGGTCCACGGACCGTGCCACGAGGTGCCGGGCATGGCAAGCTCGCCATCACCATCCTCCCGATTGTCGTCATCGTCATCTCTGGCTTTGCGTTTGCGGGATTTCCGCAGATTTTCTGTCCCGTTGGGAGGGAAGGTTTCGGAGCTGCATTGGCAGAAATGCACAAGCGTTTGTAAGAAGTCAGGCAAGTTAAATACTGCACAGTAAAAGCCCAATTTAACAAAGGCATCGGGGCAATGAGTAACACTCCCGTGAAAATGTAAAATGCTTGTGTGCATCTCCGTGTGTGTATGTTGAACTTCTTTCGCAACGCACGTAAGCCAACCGTGCTAATAACACTGGTCAACACACTTTTGCTGGCATAAGGTATTCCAACGGTATCAAGGTAATTTTGGGGTGCAGATTTCCAAATCTGGCATCAGTTTTTGTCTATCAGGTTTTTGAGATATCAAATATTGCATTTTCAATAAAAACTGCAGAAGAAAAATATTAAATAAATGTGAATATCGACGTAAAATGATATTATAAACACACTATCCTAAAAATACAGCACCATATTTTAACACTAAAGCAGGCACTGACTCGCAACAACTTGCAATCATAGTTAATTTCGGGTAAAATCAATGAAATTGGGTATGCCGATAGCATAAAAATGAGATGTGATAGAGAAAATCTGAGATCAGATTTCGAATCAGCACCCTGAAATTAGTCTAAAACAGCTGCAAAAGTCCAGGCCAGAAAAAAGTGTTTTTTTTTTGTTGACCAGTGTATAATCGGAGGTGCGCGTCTACGTGCAAACGGAACTAAAAAGTAAACATCTTAAATACGATCAATGTTTCGTTAATGTGGCGTAACTATGTGACTGCATATCCAGAGGCTGCAGAGAAAAGTTGGAAAGTTACATTTATATCATCGTAGCACTCTGTGTGACTACAGATCTCTCCTTGCATCTATCTATGAGCACATATGTGGGTCTATGTGTCTATATGGGCCTCTGACTTTTGGCTCCGTGCAAGGAGTCCATGCAATGTGGATTTCAATCGCATATGTGACCGCATTTCAAGATGCCGTTTCAAAAAACACTGCGCATATTTGTTTTATGGATGGAAAGAAGAAGTCAGTCACAGGCAAATGGAAAAACTCCGGTCATCCTCGCAGCGGCTTTTGGCTAACAATAGAACAAAGATGGTCATTGCATCAGATACGCTTCTGCGGCCATATGGAATGCGACTGAAGCTACGCATCTTCTTGGTTCTTTCGGTAAAGTCACGTAGAAGGGAAATAATAAAATAATAAAAATAAAACTTAATAAAAAAATTCTCACGACGTTTCGGCCACAACGCAAGCAGCCGTCCTCAGGTGAAGAACAGGTCTGTTGTGGCCGAAACGTCGTGAGAATTATTTAATGTTTGATTTTTTTTATTTTATTATTTCCCTTCTACGTGACTTTACCGAAAGAACCAAGAAGATGAATCCCTGCAGTCACGAAAGCTTTAAATCTAAATTTGAAGCTACGCACTTTTAAATCTGAAGTGAAAACTCGTTTCTTTATAAGTGCTCTTTGTGTTTCGTTTATTGCCCTTCCCCCGCACCTCCGACTGGCACGACCCTCTACGTACGGTGCGAAAGAAGTTAAAGTATTTATTAATATTTGGGTGTGCGTTTGTGGTGCTGCGTTCAGCCTGGTCGCCACTTAATACAAAGTTCCCCAAAATGGGAATGTGGGAATTTCGACAAATAGCATATGAAAGCCACCTCATTGCTATATAAAAATCGGTCTTCACTAAAACCTGTGCTGGCGGGTGTGGCAAAAGTACCGAACGGTCAAACAATCTCCGATGTTGTCGGAGGCCTTCATCCAGCAGTGGATCGAGGAAGGGCTGTAAACTATAGTTTTTGTACAAAAATGGTGAAATAGAACTCTGTACCTGTCAGATCCAAGCTTGCGTGTCTCCATGCTAGGGTCGAGAGACAAACATCAAACAGTCCTTTAAGCGACAACAAAAACAAATCAGCTTTTGTAATGTGACAGAGTAAAATTAAATTAACTTTTTTTTATATATATACTTAAACGTTGTAATAGCCAAAACCTCTCCCAGCAAATGACACAAACACTACATGCACAAGCTTAACATTAATATATATATTTTTAAAAACACAAACTTATAACATGCAGATAATTCTTAAAACTGTGGCAATGAAGGCAAATTACAATCAACTTGGTACTGTATTACTGTGCTGCACGTACAAAGAGACACTAGATTCGCCTAGGCCTCCTTTTAGCTGTCGATGCAACTACAAACGCAAACTTCAGCCCACGTACAAATTAAAATCTATTTCAATTAAAATTTTACCAGCTACGTAGTTTTTTTTTCAGAAGCGATCCTAGCCATCACAAACGATAGCCCAACCAAGTAAGTGGCTGATCTCATCATCACGTGGAAATGTATAGCAGCAGCCAAACACTCGAAACGCGTGGTGACGTTTCTTAATGTGGAGGGGAAAAACCGGAGGAGCCGGAATAAAGCCACAGGGAGAGAGAGACACGCAAACTCCAAATATAGAGCAGGCGTCAAGGATCGGGATCAAACTCACGACCTCCTGTATACCAGGCGAGGTAGTTAACATCTCCTAGCCACCGTGATGGTGATGAGAGACACGCAAACTCCAAATATACAGCAGCAGGCGTCAGGGTCGGGATCGAACCCACGACCTCCTGTAAACCAGGCGAGGTAGTGAACATCTCCTAGCCACCGTGATGATGATGAGAGAGACACGCAAACTCCAAATATACAGCAGCAGGCGTCACGGTCGGGATCGAACCCACGACCTCCTGCACACCAGGCAAGGTAGTTAACATCTCCTAGCCACCGTGATGATGATGATGAGAGAGAGACACGCAAACTCCAAATATACAGGAGCAGGCGTCACGGTCGGGATCGAACCCACGACCTGCACACCAGGCGAGGTAGTTAACATCTCCTAGCCACCGTGGCGCCTGGACCATAAACCCTTGAGATCCTTGATGAAAAGCGCCATATACATGGAATTATTATTATTATTACAACAGCCAGTTACCCACTAGGTGACGGGGATGTCACCACGGCGCTTGTGCCAGGCTAGGTGCACCCTGAGGCTATGCCGTCAAGTGTCAGAAGACCGGCTTGGTACGCGCGCACACACACAACACACGCAATCCATGTCAGCCTTTACAAGCGAAACGCTTAACTATCGTAAATAACGAACGATACACCATGACGTTGAACAACAACAACAATATCATTTGTTGCTGCTGCTGTTGTTGTTTTTCAAGTGAAGTGGGAGCCTTTTAAACTGCACGCACGAGTGCCGGACAACCCGACTTCGATACGAGACCAACTTTTGAGTAGTACGACGTTTCGCTGGTAATTACATCCAGCATCATCGGGCAATTTTCCAGATGAATAGTAAATGTTGTGGATCCACTCTTCAACACACCGGTGGGTTAATGTAATGAACTATTTGTCTTTTGTCAACGTGACACTTTTTTTTTACTGATTGGCCGTGTCGGGTGGTGGAGGGTTACGACACATTTATAAATAACGCGATCTAAACCCAAAAACGTTTATACTGGTAGGAACCTCCTGGTTACACCAGCTCACAGGGGTTTATTGTGTCCGTCGTGCAGGGAGGGGCTGGGTGGGGAGGGTGGGGAGGGGCTGGGTGGGGCTGGGCTGGGTGGGGAGGGGCTGGGTGGGAAGGGGCTTGGTGGAGAGGGGCTGGGTGGGGAGGGTGGGGAGGGGCTGGGTGGGAACGGTGGGGAGGGGCTGGGTGGGGAGGGGCTGGGTGGTGAGGGGCTGGGTTGGGAGGGTGGGGAGGGGCTGGGTGGGGAGGGTGGGGCTGGGTGGGAGGGGTGGGGCTGGGTGGGGGGTGGGAGGGGTGGGGCTGGGTGGGAGGGGTGGGGCTGGGTGGGGAGGGGCTGGTCACCCCGTGGTGCCCTTATAAAACTCAACGTTTAACCTACTCAAGCCGACTTGTGCCCGCCCTCACAGTCGGGCATATTTGCGGAATACACCACGCCGCCGTTGACCCTGCAGGCCATTGACCGAGCAACCCAACGTTCCTACCAGCTCCCTCCGCAGGAGGAATGTGTATTATTATTTAGTCTAAATAACAACGAGTTGACTCGTCGGCTGCGACCCCAACCAACGGACGGCGAGCTTAACGTTAACAACGGCGACACGGCTCTGACGCGCGGCAAAGTGGCACGATTTAAACGTCGAATCGCACGAATGACGAAGACAGAAATTTCAACGTTTAAGGCGATCACCCAAAATCGAGGTCCAGGCTGATCGCCTCACGGCGGCCCCGCGATGACGTCTCGGCCATGCACATGAGCTTCTCCACTCGCGATGACGTCACTGTCATGCAAATGAGGTGCTCCGTTTGCGATGACGTCATAGCCATTCAAATGAGCGTCTCTACTCGCGATGATGTCATGATCTGCAAACGAGCTTCTCGGCTCGCGCGGTGACGTCACGGCCATTCAAATGAGCTTCTCTGCTCGCGGTGACGTCACTGCCATGCAAATGAGCTTCTCAGGTCGCGGTGACGTCACTGCCATGCAAACGGTCTTCTCTGCTTGTGGTGACGTCACTGTCATGCAAATGAGCTTCTCAGGTCGCGGTGACGTCACTGCCATGCAAACGGTCTTCTCTGCTTGTGGTGACGTCACTGTCATGCAAATGATCTCGGCTCGTGGTGACGTCATGGCCAAACAAATGAGCGTCTCCGTTCGCGGTGACGTCATTCCTGCGAGTGAGACATTCATACTCTTTGTTTTTTTCGGTAAAGTCGTGATTTAATTTATTTTTATTTTTTACCTACGTGACTTTACCGAAAAAAATCAATCCTTGCAGTCACGAAAACTTCAAATCTAGAATTAAGTGAGACATTGTAAAGACCATCCTTTGTTAACATTAACATTTTTTAAAAGACCGCACGCAGCGTAATAATTTACAAACGCGTTCAGTTCATTGTGTTTATTGCGCACCGCGCTGCCCAATGTGCTCCCGTATCCCTAAACGATCAAATAACCTTTGGGTGTGATCATGCCTACGGGTGCCGCCAGGGGGGTCACGTGATTTCACAAACGCGTTTGGTAAAGGGACTCGCCGCTCATTAACGATTTGCAAGTGCCGCGTTGAAACGGGTCGCACATTTTTGATATAACGCTCGCGATTTTCTAAACGTTTGTATCTTTCTGTATTAACGCACGTCCAATGCAATACATACGCCTCTAATATCAGCGGCGGCTCGGCGAAACAGATTCTCACACAAAATAATAACGTGGCTTCAATTGAATTCTGCCATGATCACCATCATCACCATCATCATCACCACCGCCACCATCATACTCATCATCATACCGGGGGCGATGACCCTCGATTCAGACAACAGCAGCAGCAGCACGCTCTCCGCGGAGGAGAAATCACGTCTACGGTGCGAGACAGGTTGACGCGGCGCGCGGTCACTCGAGGCGGATGTACTTGGCCCCGTCGCGGTAACGTGGAATGGTCACCGCTACGTTGTGGCGCTCTGAAATCAGCCCGTGCTTCGTGACTTATCCCCGACCCTAAATCTACTCCCATCTCGTACAGGGTGGCTCAGACATCAGGTCACACAGGGTTATGTTATATTAACAACGCGTTGGGTTATTGCGTTTATTTTTAACGAATGTTCTAACTGACTTCCATGAACGTTAAAGCATGATGCATTAATTATCTTTTGAAGTTAATGTTTAGGATTACAGGTGTAATCTTTGAACATCGATTATGGTCTGTTAATTTTATTTCCATTTTGTAACCATCAAAAAAGGAAAAAGACAATTATATTATTATGAATACGAGATAAAATATTAACTGAAAAGATAAAACAATTAAATGCTGTAATTCCAGTGTTAAAATTAATGAAATAACCCGAATGTCTCCTGACTTTTGGCCCATACTGCATCCCTCCCTTCTCACTCAGGTCAAGCCTCCTGTAAACCACGTGACTTTGTGTGGCCCCGCCCACTCTGAACCCCTCCCCTCTCCCCGTCGCTGCCCACTCTGTAAACAGCAGAGGTCGCAACCGGGTACCCGATACCCGTACCCTACCCGATACCCGGCTACCCGTACCCGGCCGGGCAACCGGGTACCCGGTTGGGTACGGGTAGCCGTTTGCGACCCTGGTGCGGCCGGGTACGGGTACAGGTAGGCCGTGAGTCACTGGGTGAGTCACCGTTTGTCACTCATTTCGGGTAGGGTACGGGTAGGGAACGGCTAGCCATTTGCGACCCTGGTGCGGCCGGGTACGGGTACGGGTAGGCCGTGAGTCACTGGTGAGTAACCGTTTGTCACTCATTTCGGGTAGGATACGGGTAGGGAACGGCTAGCCGTTTGCGACCCTGGTGCGGCCGGGTACGGGTAAGGAATCAAAACCCGTTTGCGACCTCTGGTAAACAGACGCCGTTCCTCCACCGTGCAGCAGCAACAGCATCAGCGTCGGCGCCCCAATCCTCCTCCCCATCATCATCTCTCCTGAATCCTCTGCTCTGGTTACTTTTGCCATCTTTTTCCTCTCAATTACCGGTCTTTCTCTCCTCTCTTCCTTTCCCACGTTTCTTCCTCTTCCATTAATTACATCTGTGACTCCCCTCCCCGTTGTGTGGCATGGGTTACACGTTGCTCATATATAGTGTGTATATGCTACGTGCTATGAAGAAGGGCCATTGCCTGAAACGTCGTTTATTCTTTATACTTTTTTTCTCTTAAGGCAGGGTTACTGACGAATATGTTGAGTTTTGTAGTACTGTATATACCATTGTCAATTAAGGATGGAAGTTATGACAATTTAGCGAAAATAAAACATTCTTTTATTGTGTTTTATTTTCATTATTTTATTACTTCCCTTCTACGTGACTTTACCGAAAGAACCAAGAAGATGAATCCCTGCAGTCACGAAAGCTTTAAATCGAAATTTAGCGAAGTTTACACTCACGATCGTGTGAACTCCACGCAATATCGTTCACGCCACCGGGGGTTGGGAGCTGTCCAGCATTTCAGCCACCACCGCCGTTGTGCGTGGGGGGTGCACAGTTGCTGGGCCGCCAGGCGATGATGATAATGATGACGATGATAATGATGACAACGATGATAATGATGACGATAATGATGACGATGATGATGATGACGATGATAATGATGACGATGATGATGATAATGATGACGATGATAATGATGACGATGATGATGATAATGATGACGATGATAATGATGACGATGATAATGATGACGATGATGATGATAATGATGACGATGATAATGATGACAACGATGATAATGATGACGATGATGATGACGATGATAATGATGACGATGATGATGATAATGATGACGATGATAATGATGACGATGATAATGATGACGATGATGATGATGACGATGATAATGATGACGATGATGATGATAATGATGACGATGATGATGACGATGATAATGATGACGATGATGATGATAATGATGACGATGATAATGATGACAACGATGATAATGATGACGATGATGATGACGATGATAATGATGACGATGATGATGATAATGATGACGATGATAATGATGACGATGATAATGATGACGATGATGATGATGACGATGATAATGATGACGATGATGATGATAATGATGACGATAATGATGACGACGATGATGATGATGATGACGACGATGATGATGATGATAATGATGATGATGATGATAATGATGACGATGATAATGATGACGATGATGATGATAATGATGACGATAATGATGACGACGATGATGATGATGACGACGATGATGATGATGATAATGATGATGATGATAATGATGACGATGATAATGATGACGATGATGATGATAATGATGACGATGATAATGATGACGACGATGATGATGATGATAATGATGATGATAATGATGACGATGATAATGATGACGACGATGATGATGATAATGATGACGATGATAATGATGACGATGATAATGATGACGACGATGATGATGATAATGATGATGATAATGATGACGATGATAATGATGACGACGATGATGATGATAATGATGACGATGATAATGATGACGATGATAATGATGATGATAATGATGACGACGATGATGATGATAATGACGATGTTGATGATGATGACGATGATGATTAAGATGATGGCGATGATTATTAAGATGATGGTGACGTACTCTTTGGTTCTTTCGGTAGAGTCACGTAGGTATAAAATAAATTATATCACGACGTTTCGGGCGCAACACAAGCGTCCGTCATCAGGTGGGACAACCACAGCAAGAAACAATTGTATGGATCTATGCAGTCACGAAAAATTCAAATCTAGATTATGATGATGATGACGTTGACGATGACGACGATGATGATGACGATGATGATGACGATGATGATGACGATGATGACGACGATGATGATGACGATGATGATGACGATGATGACGATGATGACGATGATGATGATGACGATGATGATGACGATAATGATGACGATGATGACGATGATGATGATAACGATGTTGACCATGATGACGACGACGATGATGATGACGATGATGATGACGATGATGATGACGACGACGATGACGACGATGATGATGACGATGATGATGACGATTTCCCACCTGGTACCCGTGGTGTCTGCAGGGAGCAGGTGTTGGAGATGTTTGACCACGCATACGGGAGCTACATGGTAAGTGGCTCCTGCTGAAGGCTTTGGATTCCGATGCAACTAACTCCAGACGCGCTTCCGTCGATGACACGGTCGCTTGTCAGCTGTGTCGATAATCTGCTATTAGCGATTCATCCGCGAAAATCGATTATGCTTACCGTACGACGTGCATCGAATCTTGGCTATCAGAATAGACTACTGCAAAGTTCCCGCTTAACGCGGTGGGGGGGGGAGGGTTACATTCCTGAGAATTGCCATGTGAAGCGAATTCGCGTTAAGCGTGCTGTATATAACATGCCCGAGAGCGAAATACGGCGAGGGAAAAAGATAAGGGAGCGAGATGATGCTACACACACAAAGATGCTGCCGGTACAAAGACTCGCGTTGTAGCAAGTAGTCCGTCATGCGCTGGACTCGCGTTATAGCGGGCGCCGGTGCGAGTTTAGCAAAAAAAAAAATTAACCCGTAAAAACAAAGTTTTTCACTATAAATCCTTTATATGCGTGTTCAATGGGCCACAACCCAGCCCACATTGGTCTTTGAAACGGGCGGCTAGAGTCCTCTCGTCCTCTGGCTTGAGATGGCTGCCACCTATGGGTCAGATGATTGCTTGCCACCATTAAGCAATTGGTAATTAAATATAAAAAAAAATTCCTAAAAAGTGTAACATTTTGGAAAAAAAATTTCACGAAAATAAATTGTCACGCACAACGAGTCTGTGTGCAAAATGTCAGCTCGATTGGATCACGGGAAGTGGGTTAAAAAACGACCGAAAAATTTGCACAGCCGTAAGCGCGCAAGCAAGCAAGCAAGTGAACTTAATATATAAAGGATTTAAAAAACGGGTATTTTTCTATAATTTACATGCGCGCAAACGGTTGACGACGATGACGACACCAACGATGACGATGATGATAATGATGATGATGATCGTGCAGACTCGGGCATTCCCGGATGACGAGCTCATGCCGCTCAGCTGCCGGGGTCGCGACCGCGAGCGCGAGCCGAGCCGCGGTGACGCCGACGACGCACTCGGCCGGTGAGACAATCACTCCCCGCCGTTGCTTCCCTCGTGAAGACAAAGCCAGTCCTCATTTAAACTACGAACTGTTTTGTATTCTACCGTGTCAAGGGCCCACTGAGCTATGTAGCTCTTATAGTAGTAGGTTTTTACCCTTTAAACTGGTACAAAAAACTGACACCTTTATACAAGGCATCATTTTTGCAATAACCACAACACAAGCAGTCAAAATGCAAACAAAAAGAAACAACTCTGATAATGATATGCACTGTGCTTGAAGTTGATTGGTCCACACCCGAGACAGCTTTTCTTAGAGCCTAGTCTCCATTTAAAGGGTAAAAATTTACTACTATATTTTGCCACTGGTAAAGGTGGTCTCATATTGTAAATGCTTACCCCGAGCTCTCAATACTCTGGATAGTGCACTGTTTTTGAGTTGTACGCCTTTTGGCGTCATCTGGTCCAACACAAATGGAGACTAGGCTCTAAGAAAAGCTGTCTCGGGTGTGGACCAATCAACTTCAAGGACAGTGCATATCATTATCATTATCAGAGTTTCTTTTTGTTTGCATTTTGACTGCTTGTGTTGTGGTTATTGCAAATATGATGCCTTGTATAAAGGTGTCAGTTTTTGTGCCAGTTGAAAGGGTAAAAACCTACTATTATATTTTGCCACTGGTAAAGGAGATCTCATAGTATGTAGCTCTTGTTTCAGAAGTGACCTGTCCGTCACAAATGATAGCTCAACGAAGTGGCTCGTCGTTACGTGGAAATCTATAGCGGCCAAATATTCTAAAAACGCACTTTGATAATTATAAATGTGGAGGGGAAAAAAAAACCGGAAGACCCGGAGAAAAATCCACGCGACCACGGGGAGAACGCGCAAACTCCAAATATACAGCAGGCATCAGGATCGCGATCGAACCCACGACCTCCTGTATACCAGGCGAGGTAGTTAACATCTCCTAGCCACCGTGATGATGATGAGAGAGAGAGAGACACGCAAACTCCAAATATACAGCAGCAGGCGTCAGGATCGGGATCGAACCCACGACCTCCTGTATACCAGGCGAGGTAGTTAACATCTCCTAGCCACCGTGATGATGATGAGAGAGAGAGAGACACGCAAACTCCAAATATACAGCAGCAGGCGTCAGGGTCGGGATCGAACCAACGACCTCCTGTATACCAGGCGAGGTAGTCAACATCTCCTAGCCACCGTGATAATGATGAGAGAGAGAGAGACACGCAAACTCCAAATATACAGCAGCAGGCGTCAGGGTCGGGATCGAACCCACGACCTCCTGTATACCAGGCGAGGTAGTCAACATCTCCTAGTCACCGTGATGATGATGAGAGAGACACGCAAACTCCAAATATACAGCAGCAGGCGTCAGGGTCGGGATCGAACCCACGACCTCCTGTATACCAGGCGAGGGAGTTAACATGACCACCTCATCTGTGCCGGTCGTTACAAACGCGTGTGTTCCTTTCTCGTTTTAACGCTGACCGACCGCCCCACGAAATCCCGTCAGATTCTCTCTGACTCTCATCGACTCCCTGGACACGCTGGTGGTGAGTGAGTGTGTGAGTGAGTGAGTGTGTGTGTGTGAGTGTATGAGTATGTGAGTGAGTGTGTGAGTGAGTGAGTGAGCGAGCGAGCGAGTGAGTGAGTGTGTGATTGAGTGAGTGTGTGAGTGAGTGTGTGAGTGTGTGAGTGAGTGAGTGTGTGAGTGAGTGTGTGAGTGTGTGAGTGAGTAAGTGTGTGAGTGAGTGAGTGTGTGTGAGTGAGTGAGTGAGTGTGTGAGTGAGTGAGTGAGTGTGTGAGTGAGTGAGTGAGTGTGTGAGCGAGTGAGTGAGTGTGTGAGTGAGTGAGTGTGTGAGTGTGAGTGAGTGGGTGTGTGAGTGAGTGAGTGTGTGAGCGAGTGAGTGAGTGTGTGAGCGAGTGAGTGAGTCTGTGAGTGAGTGAGTGAGTGTGTGAGTGTGTGAGTGAGTGAGTGTGAGAGTGTGAGTGAGTGCGTGAGTGAGTGAGTGAGTGTGTGAATGAGTGAGTGTGTGAGTGAGTATGTGAGCGAGCGAGCGAGTGAGTGAGTGAGTGGCAGCCTGCATCTGCCATTGAACCCTTTGCCTACTCGTTACGTACCTAGGGCCACCCCGGGATGGAGGAAATTGCCCAGCGCCTCGCACAGTGGTCAGGCAGCGTTGGCGGCGACGCGACCTGTAATTCTTTAGCGTTGTGGAGGCGGTGATGGTTGGTGGATCACGCAAATGTTGTGAGACTCCCACTTGCCACGAGCGTCGAGAAAGTGTCCGTCGTACCGCGGCTCGCCAGAGGAAGGCGTTGCAACAACAACAACAAACGTGGACCTCCACCTGTTCCAGCTGTAGAGAATAGAGTGTTGCACCCTCGCACCCGTGGGTTTCCTCCCGAGTGCTCCGGTTTTTTTCCCACGATTAGCACCCATTAATTGGTTGACGACATTGTGGCAATACACACAGAGGAACGTGGAGCAGAGGTCGCAACCGGGTACCCGATACCCGTACCCTACCCGATACCCGGCTACCCGGCCGGGTACGGGTACCCGTTTGCGACCCTGGTGCGGCCGGGTACGGGTACGGGTAGACCGTGAGTCACTGGTGAGTCACCGTTTGTCACTCATTTCCCAACGTCTTGTCTCTTCTCACAATTCAAGTTCCTAGAATCAACCCACCCGCGCCTGCAACATGGCTTCATCCCAGAGGTCGCAATCAGGTACCCGGCCGGGTACGGGTCGGGTACGGGTGCAACCCTGGTGCGGCCGGGTACGAGTACGGGTAAGGAATCAAAACCCGTTTGCGACCTCTGACGTGGAGCTTGGGCGATTGGTTGGAGCGCCGGCTCACCGAGTGGCTGCTGCTGCGCTCAAACTCGTCGTCTTCTCTCTTCGAGAGCGAATCACCGTGCGGCGACGGCGATAGCGGCACATTGTAAAAGTTGCGAATGTTTTAATGATTAATAAGGGGGGGGTCGGCGCCCCCCACGTGGAAATCTGGCTCTCCAGGAAGCTACGGGGGGCGGTGGGCAGTGGGTCGGCAACTAAAGCAACGAAAAGAGACATTTGTTTTAGAATTCGACAAAAAAGAAGATACACATTTTAAGAGCCGCAATGCCACATGGTGAATACGAGACGGTGGGTCCTGAATAAATAACTGTCACGAAGCAGCAGTCCTTAATGAGCCGCATGCGGATCCGGAGCCGCAGTTTGCCGACCGCTGTGCTACGGCATTCCCGGTGAGAACTTACGTACATGTTTAAAATCTCGATTGAAAACTCCTTCCCCCGCACCTCCGATTAGGACGGTTGGCGACGTACGGTGTGAAAGAAGTTCAACATACATAGACTCACACAGAGACCCATCGACTCACACAGAGACCCATAGACTCACACATCGACCTATAGACTCACACAGAGACCCATAGACTCACACATAGACCCATAGACTCACACAAAGACCCATAGACTAACACAGAGACCCATAGACTCACACAGAGACCCATAGACTCACACAGAGACCCATAGACTCACACAGAGACCCATAGTTTGTTGCCCTGCCGCACTTCCGATTATCACGGTTGGCTACGTACGGTGCGAGAGAGGTTCAACGTACACACACGTACGTACAACCGGAGGCTCCGCTGACTGACTGCGTGTCCGTGTGGTGGCGCCGGCGGCGGCGGCGGCGGCGTCGTCTCCGCAGGTGCTGGATCGACTGGAGGAGTTCGACAGAGCCGTGCGCAAGGTGCTCAGCACCGTGCGTCTGGACAGCGACATCGTCGTGTCCGTCTTCGAGGCGAACATACGGGCGCTGGGGTGAGCGTCGTCCCGACGGCATCTCGCAAATCGTCTCAGTTGTCACCGTTCCATCGCCATTGCCACCGTCCCGGCCGTCGAACAGAGACGGTTTAGCGCCACGCGCGCTTTCAGATGCGCTTCTGCGACCGTCTGTCTCGAGCCTGGAGAGCGGTCGCAGTGCCGCATCATCCAACAGGCCACAGTGGGCACTGTGCCGAGGGCCTACGAAAACTAAAGGGCCTACGGAAAACAATTGACCACGGTTTTTTTTTATTGTTTGTACGAGAAAAAATATAACCAGGTTATCTTCTTAAACAAATATTTTTTTTTGCTTGTGTTGTGGCCGAAACGTCGTGAGAATTTAATTATATTATGTTTTTATTATTATTTTATTATTTCCCTTCAACGTGACTTTACCGAAAGAACCAAGAATATAAATATATTTTTATAGCCAGGAATAGGCGCGGTGTACATACAAATAGGCAGAGTCATGCCAATTGTTTTTTTTCTGAAGGTGGGAGATAAATTAACACCGGAGATGCACCTTGCGCGTTTTTTTCATTGCAAAATTAGCAAGCAAACATCATCAAGTGGTGTTTTTCCGCACAATCACATTCTCGATAGAGAGCGGTGCAAGGGAACACTACAAGATGGCTTCGTCGTGTCCTACGGTTGGTCGATCTGTCCAGCGGCTGGACCGAGTACCGCGTGAAGCAAGCGGGGTGACAGCGGCGGTAGCCGTGACATGGGGGCAGCAGCGGTCAAAACTCTGGAGAGTTACCACTGAAGGCCTACGAAACACAAGTGCCTAGGGCCTACAAGAAACTTCATGCGGCTCTGAGCAGTGACCACCATGCATGCCAGATTATAATAATGTTGCGTGTGGTGGGTTAAAATGGGTCTTCCCAACGTAAACCATCACGCAAACTCTGGTCATCCACGCAGTAGTGGCCGTCGGATGAAGCTGGTCACCGCATCGCGCGCTTTCAGATGCCCGTCTGCGGCCATCTGGAACGCTCTTCCGATATTAGGAAGCCGCTGTAGCTATGCACTTTTAAATTCAGATTGAAGACTCATTTCTTTAGAACCGCCTTTTGCGTTTAGTTTGTTGTCCTTCCCTCGCACCTCTAAGAAGGTTGGCTACGTACGATGCAAAGGAAATTCTACATAATACATTGTTATCAATTTGCTCTGCTATGTTGGTGTGATACGTCACGATGAAATTCCCTTACACTCGCCTACGACTCTCCCTACCCCTTCTCCACCTATACCCTTCCCCAGGGGCCTCCTGGGAGGTCACGTGATGGCGGCCATGTTGCGCGAGAAGGGGGGCGGCCACATGGCGTGGTACCGCGACGAGCTGCTGCTCATGGCCTCCGAGCTAGGCCGGAGGCTCCTGCCGGCATTCAACACGAGTAGCGGCCTCCCCCACCCTCGGGTACGCGTGCTCCGCATACACACGCGCCTGTACACGCACGCGCCACGTACACGCTGCCTGTACACGCACGTGCCGCGTACACGCACGCCTGTACACGCTGCCTGTACACGCACGCCTGTACACGCACACGCCACGTACACGCTGCCTGTACACACACACGCCACGTACACGCTGCCTGTACACGCACGCCTGTACACGCACGCGCCGCGTACACGCTGCCTGTACACGCACGCCTGTACACACACGCCACGTACACGCACGCCTGTACACGCACACGCCACATACACGCACGCCTATACACGCACGCGCCGCGTACACGCTGCCTGTACACGCTGCCTGTACTCGCGCGCGCCGCGTACACGCTGCCTGTACACGCTGCCTGTATACGCGCTTGTACACGCACGCCTGTACACGCGCGCCTGTACACGCACGCCTGTACGCGTACACGCTGCCTGTACACGCACGCCTGTATACGCGCTTGTACACGCACGCGCCGCGTACACGCGCGCCTATACACGCACGCCGGGTATACACGCTTGTACACGAGTGCCCGGCGCTGTTCGCGGAAAGATACAGCGCCGGGATGCGCTGCCTTCCCACCGCACCCCCTCCCCCCCCCCCCCGCAACTCGTAGAACAGAAAATTAGTTTGTGAGCGAGTGACGAGATGTTAACTACCTCGCCTGGTATACAGGCGGTCCCGAACCCTGGCGACGCCTGTTGTATGTTTGGAGTGCGCATGTTTTACCCCCTGTTCTGCAGAGTGTGAGTCAGTGAGTGAGTGTGAGTGAGAGAGAGTGAGTGAGAGGGAGTGAGTGTGAGAGCGTGAGTGAGAGTGTGAGTGAGTGAGTGAGTGTGAGAGCGTGAGTGAGAGAGAGTGAGTGTGAGAGTGTGAGTGAGTGACTGTGAGAGTGAGAGCGTGAGAGTGTGAGTGAGTGAGAGGGAGTGAGTGTGAGAGTGTGAGTGAGAGAGAGTGAGTGAGCGTGAGAGCGTGAGAGAGTGAGTGTGTGAGAGTGAGTGAGAGTGAGAGAGTGAGAGAGAGTGAGTGAGCATGAGAGCGTGAGTGTGTGAGTGAGAGAGAGTGAGTGAGAGTGAGAGAGAGTGAGTGAGTGAGAGTGAGTGAGTGTGAGTGCGTGAGTGAGAGAGAGTGAGTGTGAGTGCGTGAGTGAGAGAGAGTGAGTGAGAGTGAGTGAGAGAGAGTGAGTGAGAGTGAGTGAATGTGAGAGTGTGAGAGTGAGAGTGTGAGTGAGAGAGCGTGAGTGAGTGTGAGTGAGGGAGTGAGTGTGAGAGTGAGTGTGAGAGAGCGTGAGTGAGAGAGAGTGAGTGAGCGTGAGAGCGTGAGAGAGAGTGAGTGGACGGTCGGCCACTTGGACGACGATCAGCTATCATCATCATCATCGCGCGTGTGGCCACGTCGCCTCTGACCGAGAGCTCACAGCTCAGCGGGCTCTATCACCCGGCGGGACGGGAGCGGTGGAGGAGGGGGGGGGGGTGCACACAAACAGACAAACAACAAATCACGCGAGCGACGATCCCGTGGGCGAGCGAGCGAGTGAGTGAGCGAGTGAGTGAGCAGGCGAGCGAGTGAGTGAGCGAGTGAATGAGCAGGCGAGCGAGTGAGCGAGCGAGTGAGCGAGTGGGCGAGCGAGTGAGCGAGCGAGTGGGCGAGCGAGCGAGCGAGTGGGCGAGCGAGTGAGCGAGTGGGCGAGCGAGTGAGCGAGTGGGCGAGCGAGCGAGCGAGCGGGCGGGCGGGCGAGCGAGCGAGCGAGTGGGCGAGTGAGTGAGCAGGTGAGCGAGTGAGTGAGCAGGCGAGCGAGTGGGCGAGCGAGTGGGCGAGCGAGTGGGCGGGCGAGTGGGCGAGTGGGCGAGCGAGTGGGCGAGCGAGCGGGCGAGCGAGCGGGCGGGCGAGCGGGCGGACGAGCGGGCGGGCGAGCGAGCGGGCGAGCGAGCGGGCGAGCGAGTGGGCGAGCGAGAGTCGTCTGTGGTGGCGCTGCGCAGGTGAACCTCGCCCACGGCGTCGCCGGCGGGGAGAGCGGCGCCGGTGCGGAGGAGGCGACCTGCACGGCGTGCGCCGGCTCCTTCATCCTGGAGTTCGCGGCGCTCAGCCGCCTCACCGGGGAGCCCGAGTTCGAGGTTCGACTCCGGGGGGGGGGGTGGGGGGGGGTGGGGGCAACGGGGGGGGGGGAGGCGGGACGGGGGATCTTCGTCTTTGGGGAGCAATAGTTATAGCGGTAGTGATTTTCACCAATTATCACTTCATAAGTGCTACTCGTTAACGGCACTCGCGTGTGCCGTGCCGGCCTTCTTCAGAGGTGCCGCTCGCTAACAGCACTTGCCCCGAACAGTCTGTTAGATTTCGATTTAAAGCTTTCGTGACTGCAGGGATTCATCTTCTTGGTTCTTTCGGTAAAGTCACGTAGAAGGGGAAGTAATAAAATAATTAAAATTCAACATAATAAAATAATTCTCACGACGTTTCGGCCACAACGCAAGCAGCCGTCCTCAGGTGAAGACCAGTGAGTGAGTGAGTCTTTCAGACGCTGTCTCCCCGAAAGACCTGGTCTTCACCTGAGGACGGCTGCTTGCGTTGTGGCCGAAACGTCGTGAGAATTATTTTATTATGTTTTATTTGCATTATTTTATTACTTCCCTTCTACGTGACTTTACCGAAAGAACCAACAAGATCAGTCTGTTAGAGACTACACGGGGGACCTTTGTCTTTGGAATGCCCCCCCCCCCCCCCCGGCCTCACCCCGTACAGGAGCGAGCGCGCCGTGCGCTGGACTTTCTGTGGGAGCGGCGGGAGAGGAGCAGCGACCTCGTGGGCACCGTCATCAACATCCACACGGGGGAGTGGGTTCGACGCGGTGCGTGCCTCCGTCTGCGTGGGATAGAGTGTTGCACCCTCGCACGCGCGAGCGCCCGCCGGTTATCTCTTCCTCCGGTTTTCCTCCCACGCTCGTTAAGTGGCCGAAAGCATCGTGATGTTTATGCTGGAGGGAATCCGATGAGCTATGAAGCTCTTCTTTCACAGATGTTCAGTAGGGCCAAGGGGTCAAAATGTTACAGCAACAAACAATACAAAAAAACAAGATCGGAGTGCAAAGTATTACAAAGGTAAACAAATCACCTTTCAAAAAATATACAAATAAAATTTAGATATTTTTTTTATCGAACCAGGTAAAGCCCGCTGAGCTATTAACTTATTTTTCACAAGCGACCTGGCCACACATGATGATACTCCAACGAAGTGGCTTATCACGTGGAGATTTATAGAAGCAAAATTACGTAAATATTCTAGATGCATGTTTCTAAATGCAGAGCTGGGGCAATTCCTGGTAGCGTCGGCTCCTCACCACCACCACGTGGCTCCTGCTGCCTCCCTGCTCCTCGTACGTGGTCCCTCGCCCTGGCGCCTCTGAGTCGTCCTCCCTCTCTCTCTCCCTGAGTCGTCCTCTCTCTCTCTGAGTCATCCTCTCTCTCTCCCTGAGTCGTCCTCTCTCTCTCCCCCTGAGTCGTCCTCTCTCTCACTCTGAGTCGTCCTCTCTCTCCCTGAGTCGTCCTCTCTCTCTCTGAGTCGTCCTCTCTCTCTCTCCCTGAGTCGTTTTCTCTCTTTCTCTGAGTCGTCCTCTCTCTCTCTGAGTCGTCCTCTCTCTCTCTCTCTCTGAGTCGTCCTCTCTCTCACTCTGAGTCGTCCTCTCTCTCCCTGAGTCGTCCTCTCTCTCTCTCTCTGAGTCGTCCTCTCTCTCTCTGAGTCGTCCTCTCTCTCTGAGTCGTCCTCTCTCTCCGAGTCGTCCCTTCTGCCCCTCTCTCTTCGAGAGAGCGACGAGCGGATACCATGCGGCGCATTACGAGTTGAAACCACGCCACTGGCTGTATGTGCGTGTGTGCGTGCGTGTGCGCGCGTGTGTGTGCGCGCGTGTGTGTGCGTGTGTGTGTGTGCGTGTGTGTGTGCGCGCGTGTGTGTGTGCGCGTGTGTGTGTGCGCGTGTGTGTGTGCGTGTGTGTGTGTGCGCGCGTGTGTGAGTGTGCGTGTGTGTGTGCGTGTGTACGTGTGTGTGCGTGTGCGCGTGTGTGTGCATGCGTGTGTGTGTGCGTGTGTGTGTGCGCGTGTGTGTGCGCGTGTGTGTGCGCATGTGTGTGCGCGTGTGTGCGTGTGTGTGTGTGTGCGCGTGTGTGTGTGCGCGTGTGTGTGTGTGTGCGTGTGTACGTGTGTGCGTGCGTGCGTGCGTTGCAGACAGCGGCGTGGGCGCCGGGATCGACTCGTACTACGAGTACCTGCTCAAGGCCTACGTCCTGCTGGGAGACGAGGAGCTCCTTCTCCGCTTCAACGCCGTCAGTGACGCCCAAGCCCCCCCCCCCTCCCCCCCCCCTCCCCCCCCCTCCCCGCGGAGGCACACGCAGAGAGGAGCACGCGTGTCACCGTGTCCCTGTTTGTCACGCTCCGCGGAGCTGAAGTTGAAAGCGAGGGCACTGCAAGGCAGCAGCTCTGTCCGTGTCTCTCCGCCTGTCCGTCTGTAACGAGTTTGGTGGCCACGGTAACTCTCGGAATCGAGAAGGTTTCTTTTCGCTGGAGGAATCCGATGAGCTACGGATGTCCGGTGTAGATCGTATCGATCATCCAATAGGAACGAAGCTTTAGTGTGAGGGAGTTACCCCCGACATGGTCCGGCGTGCGCACAAACCTGAGCGTGAAATCGTGTTGCTGTTGCGGCCTTAGCTCTACGCATTGGCTCTGCCCGTCTGTGACACGGGGTCACGAAAGCTCTCGTGTAAATCACTCCAATTCGAATGAAACGCTCCTGTCAAGAAGCCGTGTTGCTGCTCGGGACCAACCCCGGGGAGAGCCGGCCACACGCGTGCGTCCGCGTGTCGGTCCATTTGTAACGCGGGGGGGTCACGATGACCCCCGCCGAGTTGATCCGACGACACGAACGCAGCGTCGGTGCGAAGTCTACGCTGCTCGTGGGGCGTGAGCCGTGAGGCCTACGGACTTTGCTCATCGCTGACTAAAGCACGTGTTCGGAACCGCTGCGGAATCCGTGCGCATTCACGATTCTTCTTCCTTGTTTTCGGACGACCCTTCCCCGTTTTTTTTTTACGGTTTGACACCAACTGCCGTCACCATTGTCGCCCCCCTCCCGCCGTCTGTGCGTGTGCCATTAACCTGTCGACCTACCGATCGACCGATCAATCTTGCGCACGTGGGTGACTGCGGACGCACGCACGCACGGATGCGCGGACGGACGCACGCGCACGCAGCACTACGCGTCCATCATGCGCTGGGTGAGCCAGCCGCCGCTGCTGCTCGACGTCCACATGCACGAGCCGGAAGTGGCGGCGCGCGGCTGGATGGACGCCCTGCTCGCATTCTTCCCAGGCCTGCAGGTGGGCGGGCGAGTTAGCGAGCAGCTGGGCGGGCGGGCGGGCGGGCGGGCGGGCGGGCGGAAGGGTGAGGTTAGCGGGAGAGTGAGCGAGCCAGCAAGTGGGTGGGTGGGCGAGCGAGTGGGCGAGCAGGAGAGTGAGTGAGCGTGAGAGTGAGTGAGCACGTGGGACGGTGAGCAAACGAGCGAGCAAGTGGTCACGTGGAATGATTGAGCGAGCGAGTGAGCACCTGGGAGAGTGAGTGAGCGAGCGAGTGAGCACGTGGGAGAGTGAGTGAGCGAGTGAGTGAGCACCTGGGAGAGTGAGTTAGCGAGCGAGTGAGTGAGCATGTGGGAGAGTGAGCGAGTGAGTGAGCGAGCAGGTGGGAGATTGAGTGAGCAGGTGGGAGATTAAGGGGGGCGAGCGAGTGAGGAGGTGGAAGGATGGAAGAGAAGTTGGTGAGTGAGAGGGTGAAGTGAGTGAGCTCGCCAGCGAGTGGGCGTGAGAGTGAGCGAGATCGTAAGAGGGTAGGCGAACGGGTGAGTTGATGAGCGCAGTCGGGGGGCACGACGAGCTTGTGAGCGAGTGGGTGGCAAAGCGAGAGGCTGAGTGAGCAAGCGAGTGGGAGCAAGAGTGGTAAGGCGGGCGGGTGAGTGAGTGACCGAGCGAGCGATAGGGTGGCAAGGCGAGTGAGTGAGTGAGCAAGCAGGAGGGAGCGAGGGTGGCAAGGCGGGTGAGTGAGTGAGTGAGCGGTTGGTAAGGCGGGTGAGTGAGTGACCGAGCGAGCGAGCGAGGGGTTGGCAAGGCGGGTGAGTGAGTCAGCGAGCGAGCGAACGGGTGGCAAGGTGGGTGAGCGAGCGAGCGAACGGGTGGCAAGGCGAATGAGTGAGCGAGCGGGTGGCAAGGCGGGTGAGTGAGTGAGCGAGCAAGAGGGAGCGAGGGTGGCAAGGCGGGTGAGTGAGTGAGCGAGCAGGTGGCAAGGCGGGTGAGCGAGCGAGCGAGGGGTTGGCAAAGTGAGTGAGTGAGTGACCGAGCAAGAGGGAGCGAGGGGTTGGCAAGGCGGGTGAGTGAGTGAGCGAGCAAGAGGGAGCGAGGGTGGCAAGGCGGGTGAGCGAGCGTGCGGCAGGATTACCATCACCTCGTTTTAAATCGTCGAACGTCCGCGCCCCCTGACCTCGCCGTCGTTCAGTGGCATCGTTTGCGCCGCAGGTCCTCAAGGGCGACCTCCGGCCGGCCATCGAGACCCACGAGATGCTGTACCAGCTGACCCAGCGACATCACTTCCTCCCAGAGGTCGCTCGCAGCGGCCCCACTCGCCAGGGGTAGCGCACCGCGCGCACCTAGCCTGGCACAAGCGCGCGTGGTGGTTGCGGTGGTGGCATTCGGCCTGGCGCAGTGGCGCAAACAGGGAGTTTATTGCCTCACCTCACGGCCACCAACACCTGTGACCATTATCTGAACCGGTCCTGGGCCTCCCCTAGGTCGACTCGGCCTAAAATGAGTAGCTGGTGCGATGTATAAACATCGCCACCGCGGGAGAGAAAGGCGGCCGGGCGTGGTGCTGGCCGGGTGGCTAAAGCGCAGCAAGTTGGCGCAGTAGGGGGCACAGGTGGTGCATCAGCCAGTCGTCTCAGTCGACCCATGGCCTCCTGGGTCTGTCCCGTGACTTCGTGCCAGTGGGCGTTCGACACTTCACGTGGCCTTAACGTGCACATGGCCTGGCACAAGCGCCGTGGTGACGTCACCGCCACTTAGTGGCGAATGGCGGTCGTTGTTATTGTGTGTGCGTGCGTACGTGTGTGTGCGCACATGTGTGTGCGTGCATGCGTGTGTATGTGTGTGTGCATGCGTGTGTATGTGTGTGTTTGTGCATGCGTGTGTATGTGTGTGTGTGCGTGTGCAGGCCTTCACGACGGAGCTGCACGTGCACTGGCCTCAGCACCCTCTCCGGCCCGAGTTTGCCGAGAGCACCTACTTCCTGTACAAGGTGAGCCCCAGGGAGACACCCCTACCACGCCACGGTCACGACGTCTCTCTCCCTCTCTCTCCTCTCTCCCTCTCGTTCGCTCGCTCTTTGCCTCTCTCTTTAACTCACGCTCGCTCTCTCCCGTCTTGGCGGCTGCTCGTGTTCACAATGCTTTTGGCCGCAGACACAAAAACGCGTGTGTGTGTGTGCGCGTGTTGTGGGGAGCGGTAGTGTAGCGGTTAGCGCGCTGCACTACGAGCCTAGCGACCCGGGTTCGATTCCCGCTCACGGCCAAACACCAGTGACGATTATCTGAACCGGTCCTGGGCCTCCCCTAGGTCGACTCAGCCTGAAATGAGTACCTGGTGTGGTGTGTAAACATCGCCACTGGGGAGACAAAGGCGGTCGGGCGTGGTGTTGGCCACCCACCCCCTCGTGTACCGTTCCGGCCTTCATAGGTGCTCGCTAACAGCACTTGCCCCTACAGTCTGTTAAGGCTACACGGGGGATCTTTGTCTTGTGTGGTCGTGGCGCAGGCGACGGGAGACCCGCACTACCTGGAGGTCGGCCGCTCCATCGTGGACAACCTCAACGCCCACGCACGCGTGCCGTGCGGGTTCGCCGGCGTGCGGGACGTCCGCACGGGGACGCACGAGGACAGGTCAGGGGGGGGGGTCACGGTGACCCACGCGGGGTCACGCGGGGGGGGGGGGGGGGCAGTGAGAAAGGGGCCCCTGCGATGACATCACCACCATGTCTAAACGGGAAAGCTTTTTAGGCCAGGCCTGTGACAAAGATGAAAGACAGTGACAAAGATCCCCTGTATAGCCTTTAACGGACTATGGGGGCAAGTGGTGATATTCACACACCGCAGCAGGTACTCATTTGAGGCTGAGGCGACCTAGGGGAGGCCCAGGACCGGTTCAGATAATCGTCATTGGTGTTGGTGGCCGTGAAGAGAGCCAATCGAACCCGGGTCGCCGGGTTCGTAGCGCAGCGCCGCTAACCGCTACACTACCGGTCCCCAAAAGGGTCTCGGGTCTGTACCCGACAGGTCGGGGACCCCGCTAATCCACACGTGAGGTCACGAAGTCGTGTGGGGACAGGTGCGGGGTCACGCTAATCCACACGTGGGGTCACGAGGTCACGTGGGGACAGGTGGGGGGTCATGCTAATCCACACGTGGGGTCACGAGGTCGCGTGGGGACAGGTGGGGAGTCACGCTAATCCACACGTGGGGTCGTGAGGTCGCGTGTGGACAGGTGTAGGGGGGGTCACGAGGTCACGTGGGGACAGGTGTAGGGGGGGTCACGCTAATCCACACGTGGGGTTACAAGGTCACGTGGGGACAGGTGTAGGGGGGGTCACGAGGTCACGTGGGGACAGGTGTAGGGGGGGTCACGCTAATCCACACGTGGGGTCACGAGGTCGTGTGGGGACAGGTGGAGGGGGGGTCACGCTAATCCACACGTGGGGTCACGAGGTCGTGTGGGGACAGGTGGAGGGGGGGTCACACTAATCCACACGTGGGGTCACACTTCGCCAGGATGGATTCCTACTTCCTGGCGGAGACTTTCAAGTACCTGTACCTGCTCTTCACGGACGACGCCGACGTGCCCTTTGACCTGGGAGCGTTCGTCTTCACCACGGAGGCGCACCTGCTGCCCCTCGGCCTGCCGCCACTGCGGGGGGGGCACGGGCGGGGTCGTTGGGGTCACGGAGGGCACGCAAAAGGGCCACGGGGTCAAAGGGCGGCGGGAAATGATACAGAGGTAAAATGCCAGACGGTTGTTTTTTTACACCTCCCAATTGTATTTTGATTTTGCATCGTGCCTTGAGACGGTGAGACATCATCGCCACGGTGGCTAGGAGATGTTAACTACCTCGCCTTGCATACAGGAGGTCGTGGGTTCGATCCCGACCGTGACGTCTGCTGTATATGTGGAGTTTGCGTGTCTCTCTCTCTCGTCATCATCACGGTGGCTAGGAGATGTTGACTACCTCGCCTTGCATACAGGAGGTCTTGGGTTCGATCCCGACCCTGACGTCTGCTGTATATTTGGAGTTTGCGTCTCTCTCTCTCTCATCATCATCACGGTGGCTAGGAGATGTTGACTACCTCGCCTGGTATACAGGAGGTCGTGGGTTCGATCCCGACCCTGACGCCTGCTGCATATTTGGAGTTTGCGTGTCTCTCTCTCTCTCTCTTCCTGTGGTCGTGTGGATTTTTCTCCGGGTCCTCCTGTTTTTTTCCCCACATTTAGAATCGACATCACACGTTTATTTGTATTTGGCTGCTGATATAAATTCGCACGCGATAAGCCACTTCGTTGAGCTTTCCTTTGTGATAGCCAGCTCGCTTCTGGGCCTTACCTGGTAAGAAAAAAAAATAGTAGTCGTAGTACATCACAACTTCCGAGATCCTTTCATGTCGTCGCCTCTCATGGAACTTTCACACGCGCCCCGCAAATGGTACGGAAGTTCGTCCGGGTGGCGTCGGACAATCCGCCCTGGTAAAGATCATCGGTCGCGTGTTGGTTAGGCTTCTACCCTGGGAGATTGTCACAGCAGGTCACATGGTGCTGTTTGGTGGGGGAGCTCTCCTATCCCGGCGACCCGAGTTCAGTTCCCGCTCACGGCCACCACCGGTGACGATTATTATCTGAACCAGTCCTGGGCGGCCTCCCCCTAGGTCGACTCAGCCTCAGATTTCGCAGGGGTTTATTACTGGATGTGTTGTGAGCCGGGTTACGGGAATAATTTCGCTGGGTAGACCGCACCAGGTGGCACGCAACCGGCAGCCACAGCCAGGAGGTATACTCGACGTGGTGTGCCGGACGCTGCCCCGCGTGTGCCCCCCCCCCCCACCCCAGGCCACGTGGCACGGAGGGGACCCTGCGTGGACGTGCCCCAACGTGCGGGAGACGCTCCCCGGCGGTGCCGACTTTGCCGGCGCCATCCGCCGCTCCTACAGGAACCTGCACGGCGGCGGGGGGCGGGAAGCAGCGCCCCCCGCGGACGGTCACTCCTCTCCGTGAGCCGTCGCACGACACTCCGTTGTTTCTAACTCGGGGGGGGGGGTGCGGCAAGACCTGGTGCGATCGGGCCACCAGCGTGGGGCCTGCACCGCCAAATGTCCCCTTTGGCCAAGTTCACCCTCGTTGGCGGTGAATCACTGCTATAGTGCCGCCCCCCCCTCGCCCACCTGATCTGAGAGGAGCTGCAGCTGGGCCTTGTGAGTGGTTAGAGGGCGCCACGGTGGCTAGGAGATGTTAACTACCTCGCCTGGCATACAGAGGTCGTGGGTTCGATCCTGACCCTGACGCCTGCTGTATATTTGGAGTTTGCGTGTCTCTCTCTCTCTCTCATCATCATCACGGTGGCTAGGAGATGTTAACTACCTCGCCTGGTATGCAGGAGGTTGTGGGTTCGATCCTGACCCTGACGCCTGCTTTATATTTGGAGTTTGTGTGTCTCTCTCGCTCGTTCATCATCATCACGGTGGCTAGGAGATGTTAACTACCTCGCCTGGTGTACAGGAGGTCGTGGTTCGTTAATGACCCTGACGCCTGCTGTTGTATATTTGAAGTTTGTGTGTGTCTCTCTCTCTCTCATCATCATCACGGTGGCTAGGAGATGTTAACTACCTCGCCTGGTCTACAGGAGGTCGTGGGTTCGATCCAGATCCTCCAGTTTGTCCCTCCACATTTAGAATCAACGTCGCGCGTTTAAAGTATTTTGCTGCTATAAATTTTTACGCGATGATGATAAGCCCACTTCGTTGAGCCATCATTTGCGATGGCCCAGGTCGCTTCTGAAAAAGGGCTACATAGCTCAGTGGGCCTGACCTAGTAAAATAAATATAGTTGAATAGTTCGCTAGCTGAGCGCATTGCGCGTTGAACCCGAACAACCGGGTTCGATTCCCGGCCACGGCCAACACGCTCTTCCTCCGCCCATTGCCGCGCGCGCGCCAGGCCGGCGGCGATGGCGGAGGGTCCGGGGCCGCCGAGCGCCGCGGGGTTCGACCCGGGCAGCGAGCAGCAGCTGGAGGCCCTGCGGAGGATGGGCATCGCGCTGGAGGGGCTGCCCGACGGGCGCATGCAGCTCCACCACAACGAGCGGCGCGTACGGCGCTCTGGCGCGGCCACGCCGCACCGCACCGCAGACACGGCGAGACGCGGCGAGACGCGGCGAGACGCGGCGAGACACAGGGAGACGCAGGGAGACGTAACGAGACTAAGGCGCAGCGAGATACACACACCCCGAGACACAGACACAACGTGGCACAGCGAGACACAGCAAGACGCAGGCACGGCGAGACGCGGCGAGACGCAGGGAGACACAGGGAGACGCAGGGAGACTAAGGCGCACCGAGATACACACACCCCGAGACACAGACACAACGTGGCACGGCGCGATGCAGTGGGACGCAGACACGGCGAGAAGCAGCCCATCACAGCCACAGCGAGACACAGCAAGACACAGACACAACGTGACACAGCGGGACACAGCGAGACGCAGTGAGACGCAGCGAGATGCAGCCGCAGGGAGACGCAGCCCGTCAGAGCGAGACACGAGACACGGCGAGATACACACACCCCGAGACACAGACACAACGTGGCACAGCGAGACACAGCGAGACGCAGGCACGGCGAGACACGAGACACAGCGAGACACGAGACACGGCGAGACACGAGACACGGCGAGACGAGACACGGCGAGATACACACACCCCGAGACACAGACACAACGTGGCACAGCGAGACACGAGACACGGCGAGACACAGCCGTACATACGCAGCACCACATAGACAGCGAGACACGACAACGACAAAGATCCCCCCGTACGGCAGGCACACGCGCGGTTAGCGGGTAGCGCCTGCGACGGCCGGCACGGCGCACGAAGAGAAGTGTTTGGCCGGCACCGCGCCCGGCCGTCTTTGTCGACGACCACCACACGCTCGGCGCTCGAGGGTTGCCGTCGTCTTTGCGCGGCGCGCGCAGGCCGAGAACGGGCGCCTGGCGGAGGACGGAGCGCGGTTCATGCGGGACATGGCGGAGCACCGGCGGTTCACGCCGGCGCGCGCCGTGCAGCTCGTGTCGCCCCCGTTCCTGGGCCGCGTGGTGCTGTCCGCGGCGCCGGCGCAGTTCGGCCTGGACCTGGCCAAGGAGCAGCACGGGGTGAGTTGCTTTCGGCGCTCTCCCCGCCCCCCCCTGCCCCCCTGCCCCCCTGCCCCCCTGCCCCCCCGCCCGCCCGCCGCGTCGTCGAGAGCAGCCAACGTCCCCTGGATGGATCCGGACCGGCGGTCCGTTTGCCGGGTTTTTCCCGATGGATCGCTTTTGTTTTTCGGATGGGTGTAAGCGCGACGGATTTGGGCGGGTGAAACTGTACGCGTGCGTCCGTTGAAACTTCTTTGGCGCCGTACGTAGCCAGCTGTGCTAACGGGAGGCGCGGGAGAAGGGCGACGTACATGCCCTTCCCGAATTGAAACGAAAAACACGACTCTCGAGCCCGAAAGCAAAAATGTCGACGCCCTCCGTACGGTAACGAGTGTGGAATGAATGAATTGAGGATTTTAAATTTCACGATCACTGACGGCCGTGACCGGGACGCGGCTGTAAGTCGCTGCTTCGCCAGCGGAAGCGCCGGCCGTCCCCGACACTTTTACGACTGCTGAAGCCTCCAACAGCCACCCGTCACTCTTCTCCCCCCCTACTCACCCCCCCCCCACCTTCTCCCCCACCTCCTGCCCCTCCTCCCCCCCCTCCTCCTCCCCACCCCTCATCCTCCCCCCCACCTTCTCCCCCTCCTCTTCCCCCTCCTCCTCCCCCCCTCCTCCTCCCCACCCCCCCTCATCCTCCCCCCCCACCTCCTCCCCCCCTCCTCCTCCCCACCCCACCTCCCCCTCCTAATTCCCCCCCTCCTCCCCCCCCTCCTCCCCACCCCCCCTCCTCCTCCCCACCCCTCCTCCTCCCCCCCACCTCCTCCCCCCCCCCCGCTCCCCGCAGGTGAAGGGCTTGCTGGCGCTGAGCGACCCCCCGCTGGCGTGCTCGCCGCTGTCCAACGGCGCCGCGGTGGCGGCCCGCGTGGTGCTCGTGCGCCGGGGGGAGTGCACCTTCGCCGAGAAGGCGCGCAACCTGCGGCACGCCGGCGCCCGCGGGGGCATCGTCATCGGTGGGTCGCGAGCCCCCCCAAACCCTCCCCTCCCACCGACACCGCCCCCCCCCCCAGCTCCATGTCACACTGCCCACCCCCCCCAGCCCAATCTCACACCGCCCCCCCCCCCAGCTCCATGTCACACTGCCCAACCCCCACGCCCCCGGCCACGTTATGAGAAAAGGTGCAGAAATTTGAAGGTAATCTAGTATATAATTACAATAACCCCCCCCCTCAAATCGTTGCACCTGATGAGTTAATGAGTTAATGATGACGTCACCCTGCTGCTGCTGCTCTATATAAGAACGGGAGACACAGCAGAGCCCCTCACCATTCTGGCGAATTGCCCGATGATGCTGGATGCAATTACCAGCGAAACGTCGTACTCAAACTGTAAATGTTGTGGCTTCAACACACCGGTGGGCTAAAGCAGTGAACTATTTGTCTTTTTGTCAACGTGACACTTCTTTTTTACTGATTGGCCGTGTCGGGTGGTGGAGGGTTACGACACATTTATAAATAACGCGATCTAAACCCAAAAACGTTGATTATGAATAATATTGGTCGCGAAAGCCTACGGGGCCGCGCGGCTCCGGCCGACGGGGTTCGTAGCTCGCCAAACGGGCGCTCGGGCGAACGTTTGGCGGGCACTCGGTGGATCGGCATTCGGTGTCGCTCGCCTCGTCCGGTGGAGATCAGGTCGTCTTATCTAGCTGCGGAACGCTTGGGAGAGGTGAGTGAGAGAGTGAGCGCGTGCGTGGGTGGGTGGCCGAGTGTGTGAGTGGTTGAATGAGTGAGTGAGTGGTTGTGTGAGTGGTTGAGTGAGTGAGTGGTTGAGTGGTTGAGTGAGTAGTTGAGTGAGTGAGTGGTTGAATGAGTGAGTGGTTGAGTGAGTGAGTGGTTGAGTGAGTGAGTGGTTGAGTGAGTGAGTGGTTGAGTGGTTGAGTGAGTAGTTGAGTGAGTGAGTGGTTGAGTGGTTGAGTGAGTAGTTGAGTGAGTGAGTGGTTGAATGAGTGAGTGGTTGAGTGAGTGAGTGGTTGAGTGAGTGAGTGGTTGAGTGGTTGAGTGAGTAGTTGAGTGAGTGAGTGGTTGAATGAGTGAGTGGTTGAGTGAGTGAGTGGTTGAGTGAGTGAGTGGTTGAGTGGTTGAGTGAGTAGTTGAGTGAGTGAGTGGTTGAGTGGTTGAGTGAGTAGTTGAGTGAGTGAGTGGTTGAATGAGTGAGTGGTTGAGTGAGTGAGTGGTTGAATGAGTGAGTGGTTGAGTGAGTGAGTGGTTGAGTGAGTGAGTGGTTGAATGAGTAAGTGGTTGAGTGAGTGGTTGAGTGAGTGAGTGGTTGAGTGAGTGAGTGGTTGAGTGAGTGAGTGGTTGAATGAGTGAGTGGTTGAGTGAGTAGTTGAATGAGTGAGTGGTTGAGTGTTGTGAGCGAGCAAAATGATACAGGCTTGTGACCGGTTTCCCCATTTCACGCCAACTGCGCCACAGCCACCAACCCTCTCCAAACGCTCCTCACCGCTCCTCACCACTGCCCCCCCCTGCCCCCCCCACCCCCAAGCAGACGACACGGCAGGCAGCAGCAGCGACACGGCGGCGCCGTTCCAGATGGCGGCGGACGGCGCCGGCGTGGAGGAGTTGTCGGCGTTGCCGCTGGTGTTCGTGTTCCAGCGTGAGGGCGCCGTGCTGACGCGCGCGCTCGCCGCCGCTCGCAACGTCGAGGTGCTGCTCACCGTGCGAGCTCGCGCACTCGGTGAGGAGCCCGGGGGGGTGGGGGGGGCGGGGGAGCGGGACGTGGGTCCCGCTTAGCGCTCCGCTCGCTCGCTCATTCACCACTCGCTCACCTGCTCATTCACCACTCACTCACTTACTCATTCACCACTCACTCACTCACTTACTCATTCACCACTCACTGACTTGCTCATTCACCACTCACTCATTCACCACTCACTCACTCATTCACCACTCACTCACTCATTCACCACTCGCTCACCTGCTCATTCACCACTCACTCATTCACCACTCACTCACCACTCACTCACCTGCTCATTCACCACTCACTTACTCATTCACCACTCACTCACCTTCTCATTCACCACTCGCTCACTTGCTCATGCTTTTACTCACTTACTCATTCACCACTCGCTCACCTGCTCATTCACCACTCGCACACCTGCTCATGCTCTTACTCACCTGCTCATCCATCACTCACTCACCTGCTCATTCTCTTGCTCATTAACTCTCCTATTCATTCACTTGCTTTGACTGCTCACATGCTCAGCCACTGACGTTTTTGCTCTCCCGCTCACATGTTCACTCGCTCGCTCGCTCGCCCATCCGCTGAATCACTCACCTGATGACTCGCTCACACAATCACCCGCTCGCTCACTCGCTCGCCCGCCCACATCACCACACATTCACTCGAATGTGTGGTGACGCATTCACCTGCCCGCGGCGTGCGTGTGCATGTCACCGTGGGGTCACGAAGGGATGTCATGCTCTGTATGTACGTTGAACTTCTTTCGCACTGTACGTATCCAATCGTGTTAATCGGAGGTGTGGCAGCACAACTATGGATCTAAATGAGTCTGGGTCTCTGTGAATCTATGGGTATCTGTGTGAGTCTATGGGTCTCTGTGAATCTATGGGTCTCTATGTGAGTCTATGGGTCTCTGTGAAGCTATGGGTCTCTATGTGAATCTATGGGTCTCTGTGTGAGTCTATGAGTCTGCGTGAGTCTATGGGTCTCTGTGTGAGTCTATGGGTCTCTGTGTGAGTCTATGGGTCTCTGTGAATCTATGGGTCTCTGTGTGAGTCTATGGGTCTCTGTGTGAATCTATGGGTCTCTGTGTGAGTCTATGGGTCTCTGTGTGAGTCTATGGGTCTCTGTGTGAGTCTATGGGTCTCTGTGTGAGTCTATGGGTCTCTGTGCGAGTCTATGGGTCTCTCTGCGATTCTATGGGTCTCCGTGCGAGTCTATGGGTCTCTGTCCGAGTTCATGAGGCTCTGTGTGAGTCTACGTACGTATCTATGTTGAACTTCTTTCGCACCGTACGTAGCCAACCGTGTTAATCGGAGGTGCGGGCGACGGCCGAGCGTTTCTGCACGACGCCACGGTGTGGAATCTCCTCCGCTCGCTCTCTCTCTCACTGTCGCTCTCCCACAACAGCCGACCTCAGGGAAGACTTCCTCGACGAGGAGGAGGAGGAGGACGAGGGAGACGGTCAGAGTGAGCGGGAGGAGGAAGAGGAGGAAGAAACGAAGCCACAGCATCACTAGAAGCTTCGTCGTGCCGATAACGGAAACAAAATCAAAAGTGACGTCCTGTTACAATGGGTATCGGTGCTCTCATCTCCTGTTTACAGCCAGTGGTGGAAACTCCACGTTCCACGTGCGGAGGAAATTCCACGTGTGGTGGAAACTCCACGTTGCACGTGCAGTGGAAACTCCACGTGTGGTGGAAACTCCACGTTCCACGTGCGGTGGAAACTCCACGTTGCACGTGTGATGGAAACTCCACGTTCCACGTGCGGTGGAAACTCCATGTTGCACGTGTGATGGAAACTCCACGTGTGGTGGAAACTCCACGTTCCACGTGCGGTGGAAACTCCACGTTGCACGTGTGATGGAAACTCCACGTTCCACGTGCGGTGGAAACTCCACGTTGCACGTGTGATGGAAACTCCACGTTCCACGTGCGGTGGAAACTCCATGTTGCACGTGTGATGGAAACTCCACGTGTGGTGGAAACTCCACGTTCCACGTGCTGTGGAAACTCCACGTTGCACGTGCGGTGGAAACTCCACGTTCCACGTGCGGTGGAAACTCCATGTTGCACGTGTGATGGAAACTCCACGTGCGGTGGAAACTCCACGTCCCACGTGCGGTGGAAACTCCACGTCCCACGTGCGGTGGAAACTCCACGTTCCACGTGGGGTGGAAACTCCACGTTCCACGTGCGGTGGAAACTCCACGTCCCACGTGCGGTGGAAACTCCACGTCCCACGTGCGGTGGAAACTCCACGTCCCACGTGCGGTGGAAACTCCACGTTGCACGTGCGGTGGAAACTCCACGTTCCACGTGCGGTGGAAATTCCACGTTGCACGTGCGGTGTAAACTCCACGTTCCACGTGCGGAGGAAACTCCACGTTGCACGTGTGGTGTAAACTCCACGTTCCACGTGCGGTGGAAACGCCACGTTCCACGTGCGACGGAAACTCCACGTTCCACGTGCGGTGGAAACTCCACGTTGCACGCGCGGTGGAAATTCCACGTGTGGTGGAAGTTTCCACGTGCGGCGGAAACTCCACGTTCCACGTGTGGCGGTGAACGAGCCTCCCCATAAAACGGCTGCTGACTTCCCCGCCAAGTGGCACAGGGACTCCTCGACTTACGGACTTGTAGAGATACGAACAAACACCGTCCCGTACCTCCAGTCGTTAGTTCAACCGCCGCGCAATAGATGGTGGCGGTGGTGGTGGCATTTGCATTTTCAGGCGATTGTACAACTTTTAAAGCCACTCCCCGTGCTTATTGTGCACGCCGTACGACACGTTTTGAAATCGACGGGAGCAAAGTTGGACCTGCGAACAAATCGACTTACGAACAGACCTCTGTAATCCATACTGTTTGGTTATTTCTATCCACGTGACTTTACCGAAAGAGCCAAAGAGTATGGATTCCTGCAGTCACGAAAGCTTCAAATCTAGATTGAGACCTCTGGAACATAATTCGTTCGTACGCAGAGGAGTCCCTGTCCCCATTCTGGCAACACCGCAGGGAGGCATGTGATCTAAGCCTTCTTGGTTCTTTCGGTAAAGTCACGTAGAAGGGAAATAATAAAATAATAAAAATAAAACAAAATAATTCTCACGACGTTTCGGCCACAACGTAAGCAGCCCTCCTCAGGTGAAGAACATGTCTGTCGGAAAAACTGCTTGGTGGTGTTCATTCAGACGCTGTCTTTCCGACAGACCTGTTCTTCACCTGAGGACGGCTGCTTGCGTTGTGGCCGAAACGTCGTGAGAATTATTTTATTATGTTTTATTTTTATTATTTTATTACTTCCCTTCTACGTGACTTTACCGAAAGAACCAAGAAGATGAATCCCTGCAGTCACGAAAGCTTTAAATCGAAATTTATGATCTAAGCCGTTGCGATTGCGAGCTGCTCACTCTACCGCTCCTCCGATTAGCACGGTGGGCTGCGTGCGGTGTGCGAAAGTGGTTCAACGCACACACGCGCACGCACAACTAGAGGCCCCGCTGACTGAGCACGTGTCTGTGTCACAACATGCTGGACACAAATAGCAGAGAGCAGTGTGTTTCACACGGAGGCTTTCGCGACAAATATCATCCATAAGAGGTTTTTTTCTGCGTTAGATCGCGTGAAAATATAAATGTGTCGTTAAACCCGCCACCACCCGACACAGCCAACCAGTAAGGCATGTCACGTGAACAGAACGTGGCAATTCGTCACTAGTACAGCAACACCGGTGTGTAGTGTAGTTTATAGTGTAGTGTATAGTGTAGTGTAGTGTATAGTGCAGTGTGTAGTGTATAGTGTAGTGTATAGTGTAGTGTATAGTGTAGTATACTAGTTCAGCACTAGTGTATAGTGTAGTGTATAGTGTAGTGTGTAGTGTAGTGTATAGTGTAGTGTATAGTGTAGTATACTAGTACAGCACTAGTGTATAGTGTAGTGTATAGTGTAGTGTATAGTGTAGTATACTAGTTCAGCACTAGTGTATAGTGTAGTGTATAGTGTAGTGTATAATGTAGTGTATAGTGTAGTATACTAGTACAGCACTAGTGTATAGTGTAGTATACTAGTACAGCACTAGTGTATAGTATAGTGTGGTGTATAGTGTAGTGTATAGTATAGTACACTAGTACAGCACACTGGTGTGTTGGAGAGCCAAGCCACAACATTTACAATCTGAGCACGACGTTTCGCCAGTAATTACAACCAGCTTCATCAGGTGACAGCCAGATGTGTGGAGAAGTCCACTTGTTTCGTTCCTTATATAGAAACGCAGGGAGTCGTGGTACTGACGGCAAGTCCTCGTTTTAACGCGGTAGTTACAGTAGAACCTCTCTTAACGATCACCCCTTGTTAACTAATCGCTTAACGGCAGGCCTCCATAGAGCCCAATATGTAGTGTATAGTGTACTGTATAGTAGTGTAGTGCCTCCATAGAGCCCAACGTGTTTGCTTACCGACCAATTCAGTAAATATGAATTGATTAACCGCGTTTCTTTTAATATTATGTTCATAATGTTGCTAGCGTCGTGATGTATTAATATCCATTGCTTAAATATTACAAAGTACTTTTTTTGGGGTGGAAAAAAAACGAACTTTCAACGTGCATTCCCTATACTCGCTTAACGACCAAATCCTAATCTCGATGCGTTCTTTAAAAGTTTCTGCGTTAAGCGAAAACGATTTCCCCACGAACATTTATTATAACGACGATGAAGACCGGGGGAGACACCACGTGCCACCACCACCACGACCACAATGCATCACTCCGCTCAGCCGCGCAGCTCAAGGAAGTATGATAATTGTTTTTTTACCCTTCTATCTGGCAACAAAACTGACACCTTTTTTACAAGGAGTCATGTTTACATAGACCACAATACCTGCAGTCATAATGCTTACCCCGAGCTCTGATACTCTGATGGTGCATTGTCTTTGAGTGGTGCGCCTTTTGGCGTCATCTGGTCCAACCCATATGAGACTAGGCTCTAAGGAAAGCTGTCTCGGGTGTGGACCAATCAACTTCAAGGACAGTGCATACATTATCAGAGTTATGTTTTTTGTTTGCATTATGACTGCAGGTATTGTGGTCTATGCAAACATGACTCCTTGTAAAAAAAGGTGTCAGCTTTGTTGCCAGATAAAAGGGTAAAAAAACAATTATCATATTTTTTACTGGCAAATGAGGTTCCAATGGTCTCAAGGAAGTAGTTCGTCGGCGACAATCGTGTCCCCCAAGGGGGAGAAACACGCGTTAAGCGAGGACTTGCCGTGCTCTTGTCAGTGTCACGTGACCGGGTCTGGACTCGGGGAAGTTCAGGGGGGGTGGTGGGAGGGGGAAATAGGGGGGAGGGGGGGCGGAAAGGGGGTAGGGGGGGGCGATGGGGAAAGGGGGAAGGGGGGGACGATGGGGGAATAGGGAGGGGCGATCTCGGGGGGGAGGGGCGGGGGGAGGGGCGGGGGGGGTTCTGCTCCGGTGTCCCTGTGGATGAAAGAATAAAAATCCGACAATCGACCATCACTTGTTACCATCCCTCTGTGTGTGTGTTGGGCTCGCAAACAGCACTTGCCCCAACAGTCTGTAAAGGCTTCACGGGGGATCTTTGTCATGGGGAGCGGTGGTGCGCGCTGCGCTACGCTACGCAGCCGGTGATCCGAGTTCGAAATCCCGCTCACGGCGGACTTTAGGTCGACTCGGCCTAAAATGAGTGATGCAGTAATTTTAGCTGTTACTGCATCACTCGATGCAAATTACTGCATCAAGTGATGCAGTCATTTTAGCTGTGACGGTCCCACCTGATGACGGAGACTTGTGTTGCCTCCGAAACGTCGTGATTTTTATTATTTTATTTTATTTCCATTATTACTTTTATTAACTTTTAATTGTATTTTTTACCTACGTGACTTTACCGAAAAAACCCTAAGAGTATAAACATTGTCGTAGTAATTGATTGGCAGTTCGCGTATGGTTGGGGAAAAGTGTGGGTGACCTTTTCGCAAGGAGTTCTGGCCAGCCTGGAGCGAGAGAGTCAGTAGGGGCTTCGGCGGAGTTCCTTCTGCCAGCTTCGTGGCGCCAGCAAGCCGTTGCAGGACTGCTCCTTAGCCGTGTTCTTGCACAGTGGGTGGACTGCAACAACAACAGCGGCAGCAGAGGGCGGTGTCGGATCGGGAATACGGAGACTCATCGACTTACGAACGAGTTCGGTTCCAGATGTCTGTTCGTAAGTCGATTTGTTCGTAATTCCAATTTTAATCCCGTCGATTCCAAACGTGTTGTACGGCGTGTACACTAAACACGGTGAATGACTTCAAAAGTTGTATCAACTGTAGATGTAGATGCCACTGGTTCTTCATGTTCTGTAGATGTAGGTGCCACTGGTTCTTCACGTTCTGCAGATGTAGATGCCACTGGTTCTTCACGTTCTGCATATGTAGGTGCCACTGGTTCTTCACGTTCTGCAGATGTAGGTGCCACTGGTTCTTCACGTTCTGCAGATGTAGATGCCACTGGTTCTTTACGTTCTGCAGACGTAGATGCCACTGGTTCTTCACGTTCTGTAGATGTAGGTGCCACTGGTTCTTCACGTTCTGCAGATGTAGATGCCACTGGTTATTCATGTTCTGTAGATGTAGATGCCACTGGTTCTTCACGTTCTGCAGATGTAGATACCACTGGTTCTTCATGTTCTGTAGATGTAGATGCCACTGGTTCTTCAAGTTCTGCAGATGTAGGTGCCACTGGTTATTCATGTTCTGTAGATGTAGATGCCACTGGTTCTTCACGTTCTGCAGATGTAGATACCACTGGTTCTTCATGTTCTGTAGATGTAGATGCCACTGGTTCTTCAAGTTCTGCAGATGTAGGTGCCACTGGTTCTTCACGTTCTGCAGATGTAGATGCCACTGGTTCTTCATGTTCTGCAGATGTAGATACCACTGGTTCTTCACGTTCTGTAGATGTAGATGTAGGTGCCACTGGTTCTTCATGTTCTGCAGATGTAGATGCCACCGGTTCTTCACGATCTGCAGATGTAGATGTAGATGCTACTGGTTCTTCACGTTCTGCAGATGAACCAGAGACATATAGACAGACATATAAGCAGAAAGATATCACAGAGATACATATCTCTCTCTCTCTATGTCGTAAAAGCTGGGGCCGCCTGTACAGTCCTCACACTTTAGAGTGTAAAGAACCGAACGAAGTAAATTCAGACGTTTCTTCAAATAAAACGGCTGACCGCAAGGGGGCAGCCGAAGAAGCGATTAAGCTAGTGCGGGGCCTGCAGCAAATGTTATAAAGGGGCCCTAAATAAAAAAAATATACGTAAATATTAAAACACACACATTTTTTTACTTGCGTAGTAAAGTTATTGTATTTTTTTCATTCGCTATACAGCCAGATAATACGACAAATCGCTAACCTTACACACCCAGTCGTTCGTAAAAGTTGAAGGTAGTATGGTACTATAGCAATAGAGCAAGTGCAGAATCACCGAACCGGAATTGCTAGCTTGAAAGCATTTAGCGCGGGGCCCTTGAAATTGCGGGGGGCCCCGTAGCATTATGTAGCTACTTGTGCTACTAGGATATAATCCGGCACCGATGTGGCTCCTTGCCGACCTCCTGGGCTCTCTCCCAGTACAGATGATCGAGTCGCGACTCAGGGGTCATGGTACCTCGACGCGCGCGGGACGAGGCAAGAGAGGGGTGGAAATCAGAGGTCGCAAGCGGGTTTTGATTCCTTACCCGTACCCGGCTGCACCAGGGTCGGCTACCCGTACCCGGCCGGGTACGGGTTTCCCGTTTGCGACCTCTGGTGGAAATATCGCAGCCCAATTGTGTGCGGTACCCGTACCCTACCCGAAATGAGTGACAAACATCTTTTTGGTTCTTTTGGTAAAGTCACGTAGAAGGGAAGTAATAAAATAATAAAAAATAAAACAATATTATTTTTATAATTTTATTACTTCCCTTCTACGTGACTTTACCGAAAGAACCAAGAAGATGAATCCTTGCAGTCACGAAAGCTTTACATCGAAAGAGTGACAAACAGTTACCCACCCGGCCGCACCAGGGTCGCAAACGGGTAGCCGGGTATCGGGTAAGGTACGGGTATCGGGTACCCGTTTGCGACCTCTGGTGGAAATATCGCAGCCCAAGTGTGTGCGGTGATTCACCAACTCTTGCTGCTCGGTTGGCTGCGTTACGGGCAGACACGTGCGCCACCACCAACACCACCATGGGGCTCAGAAGCTGGGTGCACTGTGGCTGTAGTGCAGCGGTCCTGGTCCTCCCCTAGGTGGGCTCGGCCTCAAATTAGTACTGTGGCTGGTGCGGCTTGTGTAGTTAAACATCGCCGCTGGCGTGGTGTTTTGGTCAGCCGCCCCCTCGTGTGCCGTGCCGGCCTTCGTAGGTGCTGTTGGTTTTATTTGACCAGGTTGTTTTGTCAATCTTGATTTGAAGCTTTCGTGACTGCAGGAATCCATACTCTTTGGTTGTTTTGGTAAAGTCACGTAGGTAGAAAATAAAATAGATCACGACGTTTCGGGCGCAACACAAGCGTCTCTTTCTCACCTGATGACGGACGCCCGAAACGTCGTGATTTATTATATTTTATACCTACGTGACTTTACCGAAAGAACCAAAGAGTATCCATAGATATTTCTTGCACAGAAACGACCTGGCCACAAATGAGAGCTCAACGAAAGTGACTGATCGCGTGGATCTTATAGCGGTGGCCAAAAACTCTAAACGCGTGACGTTGAAAGGGAGAGAGACACCGGAAAACTCCACATATACAGCAGACGTCAGGGTCGGGATCGAACCCACGACCTCCTGCACACCAGGCGAGGTAGTTAGCATCTCCTAGCCACCGTGATGATGATGAGAGAGAGACACGCAAACTCCAAATATACAGCAGCAGGCGTCAGGGTCGGGATCGAACCCACGACCTCCTGTACACCAGGCGAGGTAGTTAACATCTCCTCGCCACCGTGATGATGATGAGAGAGAGAGAGACGCAAACTCCAAATATACAGCAGCAGGCGTCAGGGTCGGGATCGAACCCACGACCTCCTGTATACCAGGCGAGGTAGTTAACATCTCGCCACAACAGTCTGTCAAGGCTACACGGGGGTAGGGGGGGGGGCTTTGTCAGGAGCTGCGTGCCACGGCGAAAAAAAACTGGCGAAGAGTTGCGACAGAATTAGCAACAAGGCCACACAGCACCACCAACACCAACCACCACCCACCACCACCCACCACCACAACCCACCACCAACACCACCCACCACCACCACCAACCCCACCACCAACACCACCCACCACCACCAACACCACCCACCACCACCAACCACCACCACCCACCACCACCCACCACCACCAACCACCACCAACCACCACCACCCACCACCCACCACGTCTCGTGCTGACTCAAGCGGCACGGGAAGGCCACGGGGCTTCAGGGTCAAGCTCATTACCACGTGTGTGTACGTGCGTAGCACTTGCCCCACACGTCTCTTAAGGCTATACAGGGGATCTTTGTGTTGTCTGTACGTGTGTGCGTGTGTTCGGTGCTTGTGTGGAGCGCTGGTGTAGCGGTTAGCGCTACGCTGCGCTACGAACCCAGCGACCCGAGTTCGATTCCCGCTCACGGCGAACACCGGTGACGATTACGTGAACCCCGCCCCGGGCTTCCCCTGGATCGACTCAGCTTCAATTGAGTAGCTGGTGCGATGTGTAAACATCGCCACGAGGGAGACAAAGGCGGTCGGGTTTGGTGGTGGCCACCCACCCCTTCGTGTACCGAGGCAGTTTTCATAGGTGCTCGCTAACAGCACTTGCCCAACAGTTTAAGGGTTATACGGGGAGGGGGTCTTTGTCTTTCTACGCATGTGTGTACAAGTGTGTGTGTGTGTGTAAGTTTGTGTACACAAATATGTGTGGACACAAGTATGTGTGGACACAAGTATGTGTGGCCATGAGTGTGTGTGTACATGTGCGTGTGTGTGTGTACAAGTGTGAGCGGTTTGCGTGCTGCACTACGTACCTGGCGACCCGGGTTCGATTCCCGCTCACGGCAAACACCAGTGACGATTATCTGAACCGGTCCTGGGCCTCCCCTCGGTCGACTCAGCCTCAAATGAGTACCTGGTGCGACGTGTAAACATCGCCACTAGGGAGACAAAGGCGGCCGGGCGTGGTGTTGGCCACCCACCCGCTCGTGTGCCGTGCCAGCCTTTATAGGTGCTCGCTAACAGCACTTGCCCCTACAGTCTGTTAAGGCTATACGGGGGATATTTGTCTTTGTGTACACGTGTACATGTGT